TAGGCGTTTCTTCTAGTAGACTAGAAGGCGTATACGTTTATTAGAGGGATTACTACTAGTAGTATAAATAGCTAGAGAAAAATATACTCTTATAGGTAAATAACTTAAGGAAAAATAATAGGCTATTATATTAGCTACTTATTAACACTGTTAGTTAGTAAAAAGAGAAAAAATAATAGGCTATTATATTAGTAACTTATTAACACTATTAGTTAGTAAAAAGAAGAAAAATAATAAGCTATAATATTAGTAACTTATTAACACTATTAGTTAGTAAAAAGAGTATATATATAGAAAAAAGAAGTTAGTAAGCTAAAAAGCTTATAATAAATAAAATATAGTAAATAATTACTAGTTAGCTATAGGTATATAAGGTAAAGGGTTTTTTATAGTTAAGAGTGCTTCTCTAAAGGTAATAAAGCTTATATAATAGATATAAATTAACAAGGTTTCTATAAGTTAAGAGGACTAGTTATAGATCTATTAATTAACCTATTATAATAGGTAATTAGTATAATATTACAGTAAGAGTATTTATAGAGGCGTTTTTTAGTCCTTGCCTACTCTAGATATATAAATAATTAACTAGTAATAATTACCTCTTCTTATAGTCCTTACTAATCTATAGTTTAGATAGTAAAGTTAACTTACGTAGTTAATAGTAAAGTTAACTACTAATTAGTGTTAATAACACTAAAGGATAAGTTAATATAGTTAACTATATATATTAGTAGTAATTAATAAATAATAGAGAAACTATAGTTCTTTATTATATATAAAGAAAAGAAGAATAATTATTATAGATTAGTTAGTTAAATAACTAACTTATTACCTATAAATCCTTAGAGAATCTATAGCTAAATATCTAAGGATTTACTAGTAATAAGTTATTAGGGTTAACCTAATAACTCTAATTTTTATCTGTAATAGTTAACATTATAATAATATTATTACCTTTAATAAGAAATATAGTATAAGAAGGAGGTTAGTATCTTTATATAACCCTAGGGCAAATAAAGCTATTAAGGCTAGCTACTAACTAATTACTTATATATTATTAACTTTTATAAAGGGTATATAACTTAACTTTTATCTTTACTTACCTACTGCCTTATTTATAGATTTAAACTAGTATTTATATATTAACTAGCTTTAGTCTTTTTTACTTAATATATATATATAAACCTATTATACTAATTAAGATATTAACGCTAATTTAGAGGGTTTTAGATTAGTTATTTATTATAAATATAGACTAAGAAATATAGATAAACCTAAGGGTATTTTTATAACTAGACAAGGACTATAAGAAGGTATAGAAACTTATTATAGTATAATATAAAAAAGTAGCTAAATATTATAATAACTAATATAAGAGAATATAGTGTAATAGCTAATTAAAAGTTAGTAATATAGTCTTAGTATTTGATATTAAAAAGTTAATTATATAGGCAGAAAGATCTTAAGTATAAGGCTAATTAGTGTTCTTAATGCTACTAATAAAGAATTAGAAGTTATCTATAGTAGTAGAGATACTATAAAGATAATAAAGAAGATAATAAAAGTAATAATAATAGTAGTAAATAAAGGGAGTTATTTACTATTAAGTTAATTTAAGAGAAGGATATTAATTCTTTATGCTTTTCTTTTTTTATTATTATTATTAATAAATAAAGGAAAATAAAAGTAAAGCTAACTAGAGCTAAAAAAAGGCACTAGACTATTCTTTTTTACTTTTATTTACTTTACTTTTTTACTTATATTACCTTTATAAAAGGTTTTACTTTTATTTCTTATTTACCTTTATTTTATTTTCTTTTACTTAAGGAAAGCTAATTAGAAGGTAAATTCTTTTTTTTCTTTTAGATTCTTTTATAATATATAGACCTTTTTTCCTTTATTTTCTATCTCTATCTCTCTCTTAAAACCTTACGTCTTATTTTTTATTTTTAAAGGAATATATATCTTCTTTAACTTCCTTGCTTAATAGTATTTAACACTTTTACTTTTATAAAGGTCTAAGAATTATATCTTATAACCTACTAACCTACTAATAAACCTTCCTAAGTAACTATAATTATAAAGAATAAACTAGTCCTCTATAACTATAAGTTAAGTAGTAATAAGCTTAACTAACCTTAAAAAGAAGATACTACTTTAGTAAATCTAAATTTACTATTAATCTCCTTTCTAAAGAAGGTAACCTAAAGTAAGTTCTATTATAATAATAGCTATAAGGGTAATATACTTAAAATAAAACTAAGAATAAACCTATAGCCTTAGTAAGCTAACCTAGGAGTATATCCTCTTAACTAGCCAAGTAAGTAAATAAGTATAAGTAATTTAATAATAAAAGAAAAGTTAGTCTATAATTAAATACTTATTATTAAGAGAATTAAATCTTAGTTTTATAGAGAAATATAGTAAAGGTTTATTATTAGCCTTTATAATTTTACTAAAGATCCTAAAGACTCTAAGGACCTATACCTCTAATAATATAAGGTTGAAAGGTATCTTAAGTAAGCTATTAAGGTATATAAAAAAAAGAACCTAAGGAGGTCCCAGATAAAAAGCTAACTACTAATAACACTATAAACTTTACTTTTTAAACTAGTAAAGTTATTAAGGCTATTATAAAGCTTAATAAAAAAAAGTTACTATAAGTATACTTATCTCTAAATTAAAGTATAAGTAAATTAGAACTTAGAGGACTACTTAGTATACTTCTTTTACTTTAAAAAGTAGCTATAGAAACACCTAGAGAGGTAAAAAGTTAAGATTAGTAAACTAAGAAATATAGTACTAGTAGCTAAAAGACTATAGGAAGAACTAGCTAGTTACTAATTAACTACTAAGCTAAAGACCTATAGTGCTAAAGAGGCTAAGGTATTAGAAGTTCTAGCTAAGAGGCTAAAAATAAATTAATATATCTACTATAGATATAAAGGTTATAAATTAGTATAATACTAGTTAATTATAAATATAATACTTATAGCTAAAAAGGCTATATTATAAGATATTACTAATAGGTTATTAAAAACTTAGTAACCTAGACTAGTAAAAGGCCTATAGCTATAGTCTAGTAAGTTATAGCTATAAGTAAAGAACTATTAAAAGCTAAAAAGATTATAAATATATAAAGTATAGTAACTATATAAGTAAATAAGGATATATAGGCCTAGATATATATAGAATATATAAAAAATAAAGTGTTCTTAGATAGTAAATAATTACTAAAAGTATACTAATAAACTAATTAATAGACTAATAAAGCTAAAACCTAGCTTATAGGTAGACTAGATAAAGCTAAATAAAATAAATAGACTAGTAAGACTAAAACCTAGCTTATAGGTAGACTAAATAAGGCTAAATAAAATAAATAGACTAGTAAAGCTAGAACCTAGCTAATAAGTAGACTAAATAACACTAAATAAAAAAATAATAATATTTTAATAATAATTTAGTAATAATAATATAATAATAAGTAATAAAATAAATAAATAACTAGTAATTACCTTAGAGACTATAAGTTAGCTTAAAGGCTAAGTCTTTAGAAAAGAAAGGTAATTATAAGGAATATAGATAGTCTACTAGGTATTAAGGGCTAGATACTATAGATTAATTATTTAGTAATTAGTTAGTAATATATTATTAATAGACATTAAGGGATTCCTTTAGTAGACAGTTAGAAGGCTAAGTTAAAGTCTTATAATATACTGTTGTAAAAAACGACGCCGTTAATTACAGGCAGTAATTAACGCCTTATATCACCTTGTGTGACACACCCCCCCAGATTGCAGAGACACTTCTGTGTTGTGTAATCTGCTTCTTGGCTGGCAGGGAAGCTACCATGACCCCCCTCCGTGATCCATTAAGTCCTAATCAGGGGTCTTGAATTAATCGCTGTAATAGAAGAACGCTCGGCTGACTAAGCTTAATAAGGTCCATCGGCCCCATGGTGTCTACAAGGGGAATCGAACCCCCAGGATCTATGATGCTCAGACGCTAACTCTGCACTTATACCGTAAAGGCACAATGCAGAGCGAACTAGGCTCATAACTGTCGTAAAAAACGACGCCGTTAATTATGGGCAGTAATTAACGCCTTATATTACCTTGTGTAACATATACCTATACCTACGTTTTTTTACCTATATTATTCTCTAGAATTAGCTTCTAGCTATAATCCTATTATAATATTTTTATATTTTTAAAATAATATATAAAATATAAAATATAGATAGTATATATTAAATAAAAGAATAAATTTATTAGTAACCTTAACCTTAACTTTAAAGCTACTTATACTTAATTAAAGTAGAATTTATATTTATTATTATTATAATCTTACTATATTTCTAGTGTAACCTTAAGCTTTATAACTATAGTATACTCTTTAAAGCCCTTAATAAAAATCTATTTTAAATGTATTTTCCCTTAATACACTGTTAATAGCTAAGAATACTAGAGAAGTCCTTAGAATACCTTAGAAATAAGTATAAGTAATCCCCTTATATCCCTAGGTCTAGTTATTTAGTTAGATCTATAAGCTCTATTACTTATAATAATATAACACTATTATATCTTATCTCTTATTTACCTCTCTTACCTCTTATCTTAACCTTTATTACCCCTTTTGTCTCTAAAATATAGTAAGTTTAATAAGAAAGTAAGCTAGACACTTTCTTATTATACCTTAAAGAGTACTATTTTAACTATTACTTAAAAATCTAAATCTTCTTAGAAATAGAAATAACTTTATATAGAAATACTAATAAGATTTAAAAAGTAAGAAAAAGTAGTATAGAAATTCTTCTTTAACCTTAACCTTATACCTAGTCTTAGGGAACTTAGGTGGTGTGCTAAGCCTGTCTATAGACCGTTTAGGCAAATACCTAAAAGATTAACCAATGTTGGCACTTCGTGCCAGCATTACACCACATATACACTTATTAAGGGAAGTCCCTACTTATTCCCTTACATGACGCCTACTTTGAAGGCGATGATGGCTCCCCGCGGCCTGCTGAACCCCAAACTTTACAAAGGCTGTCTGTAGGAGGCCCCTGGCTTTTCCCCTAATAGGTTCTCCTATCTTCCCGCTGATGTTAATGATCAGGCCAAAAGCGTATCTGTTCCAAAAAGTAAGGTTTGTAGCTCGGGCCGGATACCTTTTGCGGGCGGGGGACCGTTATCCGCACTCTCATATTATGAACGCCCCATCAGCTTTGCAACATTGGGTCGAGAGATTCGACGCTTAATCCTGACATAGTGTCCGTCTCGACCGTCTTCTCTCTCCATGGCTTCTGACAAGAATGATGCCTCATACGGGGCTCAGGAACTTAGGGCCCTGGTCTCCCAGGCGCTGCACGTTCCAGAGAACTCTATTCACGATGGTGACTCCTTTGTCAGTCTTGGGGGTACGTAAACAGCTATTCTGATGGCCTTCCTACACGCAAATCTTACAGGACTATCGTAGGCGACTCCTTCAAAGTCGTACGGCTGTATCAGAAATGCATCAGTTTAGGCCTGGATGTACGCATCCAAGACATCCTCAAACGGCCGCTGGGAGAGATAATTGCTCTCGCGGATCGATCCGGATGTAAACTAAGCCGATATGTCAACAGTGAGCCAGCAAGATTTTCGCTAATGCCGTCCGAGTACGACTTTAGCAGGGCTTACAAGCACATCCAAGAGAAGTATGGCCTGGCGCCAGATGCCATCCAAGACGTCCACCCGTGCAGCCCAATGCAGGAGAGCATGTACATCGGCCAAAAGCTGAGCTCGACGCCCCTCTATCGGACTCGCGGTCTCTTCTTGGCACACCGCAGACTTGACCTGCGCGACTTTGAAAGGGCATGGAGCAACGTCGTCCAAAGACACCAGTCGCTCCGGACAGTCTTTGTAGAAACTTCGGACCCAAGCTCGGGTCGAGCTCTGGATGCGGTCATATTGGAGAAATATCCATCCGCCGTGACAGTGACGACCGACGCCGGCCATGTCCATGAGATTGTCGAGAGATTCCATAACAAGCCCTGCCAGGCGACTTCGGACCGCACTGAACCAAACGAATCGCGGCATAAAGTCACCGTTTACATCTCCGGCGGCCAGACACTTGTTGAGTTCGATCTAAGTCATTTGTCAATAGACGGAGAATCATTAACGATACTCGTCAATGATCTGACGAGAGCGCTCATCGGCCAGAAAGTCGACAAGCCAGCCCCAAGCTACCGGAGGTACATCGACTATCTCCAGAACCAGGCTGATGAAGATGCTGCGCTCGACTACTGGGTGGAGTACTTGGACGGCGCCGAGCCGTGCTGCTTCCCGGCCATGAACGACAACAGCGCCGGCGACGAGGGCTCGTCTCAGGTGATAGAAATCATGCCTGCCGTCCACGGTGAGACACTGGAGCTCATTCAGGCCTTCTGCCGTGGCGCCAACACAACCGTGTTCGGCGCGTTACAGGCGGTATGGGCCCTCGTCCTCTACGCGTACACGGGAGACGACGACGTGTGCTTTGGCTACCTCTCATCCGGACGGGACCTTCCCATCAGCGGTGCTTTCGACATTGTCGGACCGATGATGAGCCTCCTCGTGTGTCGGGTGCGATGCGTGGCAAAGAGGACCGTCGGTGACCTCGTCGACGCCGTTAGGGATGACTTTGTCAACGCGATGCCGTACCAGTGCTACTCTCTAGGCAAAGTGCGACGGATACTGGGCATGAACGAGACGTCGAGGCTGTTCAATACGATTGTGACAGCCTACCACTCCTCGTCAACCCCGGTTGTCAACGTCGGGACCGACGGTGAGGTTCTCAAGATGCTCGCCAGAAGCAACACCTCCGAGTTCGACCTTGTGCTCAAAATTGTCGCCTCGGACCGCGACCTGAGCATAAGGCTCGCCTACGCCACCGCCACCCTGTCTCGAGCTATGGCCGAGAGGGTCTCGCAGACCTTCTCCGCCTTCCTCGAAAGGCTTATTAGAGTCGGTCGCACTGCGGGCTGCCACGTAAGTCGTATTATTGGAATCGGTCCTCGTGACGCGCGTCAGATCTCCGCCTTGAACTCTGTCACCAGCGGCCTGTGTACCGAGGCGGCGTGTGTCCACGAGCTCATCGAGCGGCAGGCGCGCCTACGGCCAGCAGCGCCCGCCATTTATGCCTGGGATGGCGAGATGAGCTACCGGGAACTGGATGAGGCGGCCGACATCGTCGTGCGTCATATTGCGAGCCTCGGTATAGGGCCGGGAGCGTACATTGCTCTTTGCTTCGACAAGTCCCTGTGGTATTCTGTCGCGCTTTTGGGCGTCTTGAAGAGCGGCAACGCCTTTGTGCCCATTGATGTCGAGAATCCTACATCACGCAGGCTGGAAATCCTGCAGCAACTGGGCATTGGCGGGAACTCGGGCCTAGTCATTTGTTCGAGCAGCCAGGCTTCATCCTTGAAGCATCTCAGCGGACATGTGCTTCAATTACCTTGTGCGAAGCTCGACGCCGAGCTGCGCTCGCCCTCTCTTCCAGTGTCTGTTGACCATCCGGCCTATGTCATCTTCACGTCGGGTTCTACCGGAACACCCAAGGGTGTCATTGTGGACCATCGAGCATACACATACGCTGTCCATGCTCACAGCGGCGGCATTCGTATCGATCAGGACTCCAGGGTCCTCCAGTTTGCCTCGTACGGCTTTGACACCAGCATTGAAGATCATCTGACCACGTTGGCTGTGGGTGCCTGCTTGTGCGTGCCCTCGGACGAAGACCGTCATACTCTCCTGGGCCTCGCATCTTTTGCTCGTAGCTCTGGCGCCAACTGGGCGCACCTCACGCCGTCCTTTGCCGCCATGCTGCCCCCCTCCCTCCTGCCGACGATCCGCTACATGGTTCTCGGCGGCGAGCCGATGACGGGGGATAACATTCGCATCTGGTCCTGCCCATCTCCCGGACCGCAGCTCATTCAGGTCTATGGACCGTCCGAGTGCTGCGTGACAAGCACCATCACCCAGCCCGTACTCCCTGACAGCGACCCAACCGACATTGGCACCGCGCTGCCCGGCTGTAAAACATGGATTGTCAAGCCCAGCGACCCGGACAGTCTCCAAGTGGTCGGAGCTGTGGGCGAGCTGCTAGTCGAAGGCCCAATTCTTGCCAAGGGCTATCTCGGTGATGCCGAGCGGACTAGCATTGCCTTCGTCGAGGGCCTGCGCTGGGCCCCCGACAAGAGACTTTATCGAACGGGCGACCTGGTGCGGTACGACTCGGCCGGACACCTGCACTTTGTCGGTCGCCGGGACACTCAGGTCAAGCTCCGCGGTCAGAGGATAGAGCTTAGGGAGATCGAGCGGCGGTTGGCACTCAACCCTTCGGTCCAGCACTGCCTCCTCCTTGTCCCCGGATCAGGACCATGTGCAGGGCGGCTCATCGCCATAGTGGCACCCAGGGAAGCCGAAACGCCCGACATGAAAACGCGCCCCCCGACGTCTCGGTTCTGCCGTTGTCCATTGAACTCTGCGAGGATACGCCTTGGCTTGACCGCGTCGACGATTTGAGGAGCTTTCTCGTCGAGAGGCTTCCCGCGTACATGAACCCGGACATCTGGGTGCTTGTCCGAGCCATTCCAAGGAATTCATCAGGCAAGCTCGATAGACGAAAGGCAGCCCGATGGCTCGAGGGTCTCGCGACAGAGGACTTCTCGCACCTAATCACGCTGCAGGAGAGGGAGTCCAAAGAATACCAGCCCACCGAACAGGATTTTACCATGCGGCGCATCTGGAGTGAGGTCTTAAATATTCGGGAGGACGACGTGGGCTGGAACACGTCCTTTTATCATCTGGGTAAGTACTCCTACATCGTCCGATGTTTTCTTAATGTTGAACTCCCACGGCAGGCGGCGATTCCATTTCAGCCATGGCACTCAGTAGCTTGGCGCAGCGTGGAGGCGTGGCCACGTCTCCCGCCGATATCCTCCGGCACAAGACCATCATGAACATCACGAGGGCAGCTTCGAAAAGACAACCGCCGCGGAGTGACACCGACAAGTCAGCCGCAAGTACAGACTCTTCTGCATCCGAGTTCGTACCGTTATCGCCTATACAGCGATTGCACTTTGAAGCGTCACCTCAGGGGGACTCGCTTGATCAACAAAGCGTGGTGATGCAAGTCACAAAGGAATTGGACCAGAAAGAGCTCCTCAGAGCCATAGACTCTGTTTTTGAAGCGCACCCCATGCTACGTGCCCGCTTCGAGTGTCATGACGGTGTGTGGAAGCAGCGGCTGCCTCCCAGCTCTGCCTCAGCCGCAGCCCCCGCCGATACTCACGACTACCGGGCCCGCTTCCACAATCGAGATGAGCCTGGTTATGTTCTGGAGTGTATTGCCGAGTCGCAGGCGTCCATTGATTTCGTCCACGGCCCGCTAGCGGCCTTTGATGTGTTCAAGGACGAGACCCAGACTCTCTTATCGGCAACGATCCACCACTTGGTCGTTGATACCGTCTCGTGGCGGATACTATTTCGGGAGCTGGAAGAATTTCTCAAAGACGGGACACGCCCGGCACCCGAGGCCACCCCGTTTCAGGCATGGTCCTCAGCGCAATGTGAGTTCGCGTCTGAATTGGATCCGCAACGTGTCCTGCCGGCCCACGAAGAGACTTTGGCAGTGGATTTGGGATTCTGGGGCATGGATGGCAAAGAAAACACGCATTTTCATGTGACGTCCCGTGACTTATATGTCGATGAGCGTCGCTGTGTGCCACGGAGCGGAACTGAGCACGGTGACATTGATATCGTCTCTGCTGTCTTGGAGTCGTTTGAGAAGGTGTTCGGACGCCACCCCATCCTTTTCCAGGAGGGTCATGGCCGAGAGCCGTTCGCTCCCCATCTGGATCCATCAAGCACAGTTGGCTGGTTCACAACCTTTTGCCCAGTTGTCGTCCCCAAGTGTCGTGATGACATGACCAAAATCGTCCACGAGGCCAGGTTGCGCACGCCACTTAACGGCCTGGCGTACTTTGCTTCGCGGTTCCTCAGCGAGGACGGTGCCAAGGCCTTTGGAAACCGTCACTCGCCGATGGAAGTCACGCTCAACTATCTGGGATCGTTTCAGCAGTTCCAGAGGAGCGACTCGGTCTTCAGACGGTGCGGTCAAGAATTGACCGACAAGGTATCCAACATAAGGCGACGTAAGCGAGGGCACGCTTCGAGATACGCCCTCATTTCCCTATTAGCAGTCCCAGGAGATTGCGGGCTGCGCATTCACGTCGAATGGAGCACGCACATGAGGCACCAGGACAAGATCAACGAATGGCTATCTCAACTGGAAGAGAATCTACGACAAACCCATCTCTGCGGCCAGCCCATGCTAGAATCCCCTGGACGCAGAGCGCCTTTTGGTACTCCGATGCCCTCTGCCTTCGGCATGAAACGCAGCCAGGTTGAAGCCGTACTAATGCTAGCCGAATCCAGGCTGGGGCTTGAACCCAGCCATATAGAATCTGTATACCCCTGCTCTCCGCTCCAGAGCAGCCTGATTCTCTCGCAACTGAAGAAGCCAGGCACTAACGACTATGAACAACGCTTTATCCTCAAACTCTCACGGAGGAACGGAGGGCTCGTCGACCTCGATAGGTTGACGGCCGCTTGGAAGCGGCTCGTCGCATCCCATCCCATCATGCGCACCATTTTTCTTGAGGACATGTCGGGAACCTTTATACAGGTCGTGTTGCGGTCCGTGGATGTCCAAGTTGAACTTCTCCCCACGAAAGAAGACGCATCGTCTCTCTGGGCGACCTGGGATCCGCGCCTCCGATGCCCCGGACCTCTGGGTGGCAGCGTGCATCACAGGCTCGGCATCCGCGTCGCCGCCGACGGATCTGTCTACTGCCTGCTGGCCAAAAACCACCTAATCACGGACGGCACAACATCTCGACTTTTGTTAATTAATCTCATAGCTGCATATGACGGCGCACCACTGGGCGAGACGTACACATTTGCAACCTATGTCGACTACACTTGCCAACAAGACAAACGGGCTGCCGTTCGATATTGGACTACCTACCTTGAGGGCGCCAGGCCTTGCTGCTTCCCCCGCCTACGGACATGTTTGCCACAGAGAGATCAACCGAACGAGTTCGTTCGCGCGAGCGGCGTCGTGCCGGATACATCCCTCGTCGACATGGTATCCAGGAAGCTTGAGGTGACCCGCGCGGCAGTCTTCCAGGCAGCTTGGGCGACGGTTCTGTCGGTGTATGTCGGCCGTGACGACGTAGTCTTTGGGCTCCTCTCTCACGGAAGAAGCATTCCGGTTACTGGCGCTGCAAAGATGATTGGCCCGATGGCCGGTATGGTGCCGATGAGGGTCCGCATCGATGGGAGGAGGACCGAGATGAAGGAGGTGGTGAACGCTGTGCACCACGACAACATAGAGCACACCTCCCAGGAGCATGCGCTCCTGTCACTGGCTGAGATACAGCACACTTCTGATTACAAGGGGGGAGCTATGTTCAACACGATACTCAACTACCAAAAAAGGAGTCGAGGTGACGCCTTCGCGTCTGGTAGCCTTAGATGTGAGCTGGTCTTTTCGCGCGACACGAGCGAGGTACGTCTCTCAGGTCTAACGAATTGCAATTTGCCATGTTCTTTTTATCTTAAGCCAACATTCATCTCGAACGTCATTCGAAAGAAACTGACAGTCCCTTCGGGTCTTAGTTCGATGTTGCCGTTTCCGTGACCCAAGACGGCGACGACGATGGCTTTCGCGTCACCATTGAGTCACCAGCATACTTCATGTCCAAGATTCAGACAGAGCGTCTTCTGGCAGTATACCTCCAAGCTGTTCTGCAAATATGTGTTGGGCTTGACCGGCGGCCCCCTGATCTCGAACTCTCCACCACGCTCGATATGCAGCAGGTGGTGGAATGGAACAAAGCATCGTCGCAGCTAGAGACCAGCCGTCGTTGCATTCATGGTATGATTGACGAGACGGCAGATCGCCAGCCTTCAAGCCCGGCCATCTCATCTTGGGATGGCGAACTCTCGTACGCGGAACTGAACGACCTGTCTAAGAGGCTGGCGTCCCGTTTGCAGACTCTGGGCACCAGACCGGGGGCCGTGGTGGTCCTGTGCTTCGAGAAGTCTCTCTGGGCCGTCGTGTCCATGTTAGCAGTCGCCAGGTCAGGAGCGGCCTTTGTGCACATCGACCCTGCAGGGCCATCTAAAAGAATCGAGTCCATCGTGGGACAGACGAAGCCGGCGCTGGGCCTCGGGTCGGTGTCTGGTTACGAAAAGCTCTCACGCCACATTCGGCCGGTCATCGTTGTTGACCGAAGCCTAGTAGAGGGAATCCCCTCCGTCAGCAACGTCTCTGACGTGGCCGTTGATCCCGGAAGCGTGCTATATATCTGCTTCACTTCCGGCACGACCGGCACGCCCAAAGGGGTTGTGATCCCGCATGAGTCCTTCTGCTCCGCTGTGGCATCCAACAGCTCTGAGCTACAAATCACAGCCGAGTCGAGAGTGCTTCAGTTTACGCACTTCTGCTTCGACGCGTGCCTCGAGGAGACTTTTACAGTCCTCGTGGCTGGCGGCTGCATTTGCATCCCATCAGAGGAGGAGAGAATCTCAGACCTGGCAGGATTCGGAGTGCGGAAGAGTGTAAACTGGGCCGCATTTACGCCATCTCTGCTACGCACCCTCAACCCGGACGAGCTGGCGTCATCGGTGCGCTTCATCACTGTCCACGCCGAACCCATGTGCGGCGACCTCGTCAGCCGCTGGGCGTCAAAGGTGCACATGAGACCGTCTTACGGTCCGACCGAGTGCTCCGTCACCAGCACTGTCGGCGCACGAATGACAGCCTACTCGGATCCCGCCAATATCGGCCGCCCTGTTGGGTGCCACGCATGGATCGCGCACCCGGAAAACCACAGGATTCTGGCCCCTGTTGGGGCCGTGGGTGAGTTGCTCCTAGAAGGTCCTATAGTTGGCAAGGGGTACTGGGGAGACCAGGCCAAGACTGACGCGGCCTTTGTTGAACCACCGGACTGGTGGGGTCGCGTTGTAGACTCTGAGCCATTCAGGTCTCGACGGAGGGTTTATAAGACTGGGGACTTGGTGAGGTACGCCGAAGACGGCAGTTTGCTTATCCTAGGACGCAAAGACGACTCCCAGGTCAAGATCCGTGGGCAGCGGGTGGAGCTAAAGGAAATACAACACCATATGGATAACCTGCCAGGCACAGTGCGGTGCAGCATGGCGCTGGTGCCGGTCTCCGGGATATTGAACGGTCGACTAGTGGCCGTTGCGAGTATTGAGGCTCTGCAATCGGACGGCGATACTGGCTGCGGCGGCCTTTCGGTGTTCACAAAGAACGAACTAGGCGTCGAGGGCTTGCGGGTGATACAGGATGCATTGGACGAAATCACGACGTTCCTAGCGGACCACCTCCCGAGATACATGATTCCAGACACTTGGCTTTTTGTCAAAAGTCTGCCGGTACAGACTTCGTTCAAACTCGACCGTCAGCGGGTTGGCAACTGGGTAGCTGGCTTGGATCGTGAGACGATGGAGGCTGCACTCGAGGTGCAGCGTAAGGAAGGGTCCAAGGGACAGCGCGGCACAGCTACCGAGGAGATTATCCGTAACATATGGGCAAATGTGCTTCGTACAGAGGCTGGTCAGTATCGTCACAACTCAATCATTGGCAGTCGGTGCGGTATTGTTGACTTGGAACACGTACGCATAGATTCGATAGGACTTGACCAGTCCTTCTTGAGGCTCGGAGGCGACTCTATTCACGGTAAACAGCTGTTTTGATCGATACCCTGAGGCTCCGTGGACTGACGAGGCGTGTCATCTCTTTAGCAATCGAAACCGTGCGTCTCTGTAGGGAAGCAGGACTCGACATATCGACTTACGACGTCCTCGCTAACCCGACCGTCCGAGGCTTAGCCGTCGTCTTGGCCGAAATTGCGAGTCGAAAGAAGGTACCTACGCCATCACAGTCGCTCGAGGTCCGCATCGGGTTGTTGCCGTCATCGACGGCGAACATGCCGCAGAGAGGAGTCGTTCAAGAAGACAACGTAGAAGCCGTGTTGGCCTGCACGCCGCTCCAGCAAAGAATGTACACCGCCTTCTTCCAGATGGCACAGAAGCCCTATCTCGTCAACAACCTCGTGTCGCTCGGCTTGTTGGACAATGACGGCGTCGCCGCGGCGTGGCAGCGCCTCGTTGACAGGCACGGTATCCTGAGGAGTGTCTTCGTCGAGGACCCTCAGTCCGGGCATGTCTACCAAAAGGTCCTGAAGAAGTGGGAGGCCGATATCACGTCTTGCTCTGTGCGGTGCGAGGCCGACGCCGTAGAGCACAGCAGGCGCCACGTCCAAACGGCCCGCACGAGTTTCCTACGAAACAATTTGCCACCCTGGTCGATTTGCATCTACTCCCTTCCCAGCGGCATTTTGTTGGCACATCTCGTCTTTGGGCATGTCCTGCTCGACCACGTCAGTCTGTATCACCTATTGGCTGACTTCGGAGCCCTCGCCCACAGCCAGACTCCGGCCCCGGACCCGGCTCCGGCCCCACCCGGCTTCGGTACGTACACACGCTACCTCGAGAAGACGCGTCATCTGGACAATGGAAACGCGTACTGGACAGTACAACTAAGGGGTGTCGAACCGTGCTGCGTTCCTGTCGAGCCTGCAGCTACCGCCGTCGGTCAAGGGGACTCGCATGCCACTGGGATCGTCCGGTTCTCGGTTCCGCTGACGGGAGCGGTGCACGAGTTCTTGCGTGAAACCGAGACGACACTCTCGAATCTGCTGCAGCTAGCGTGGGCGATGCTCCTGCATCTTTACCTGGATGGGCGGCAGTGGGTGTTATTTGGGCATCTCGTGTCTGATCGAGACATTCACTTGCCGCAGGCACAAGAAATTGTAGGGCCAATGTTGGCAATGATGGTGACACGCGTGGAGCTGAATCAAGACATGCGGATAGAAGAGGTTATCGGCAGCCTCCAGTCCGAGTTTGCTCGAGGACTTCAACACCGGACCTTTGACCTGACGGTCGTTGAACGGGAGCTCGGGCATAGGCGGGGAGGGTTATTCAACACCATGTTCAACTATCGCAAGGTCAAGTTTGTCGGCCATGCAAGCATCAAGGTCCGTTCGATTTGGAGCCAGGACCCCCACGAGGTAAGATGAACAGAATGGCTCAGTGCTGCAATGTCTGTGATTCGAATGACCCTGGCCGCTGACCGCATCCCATGGCAGCAAATTCTGGTCCTCGCCTTCAACGACGGGGTTGTGGGGCTAGACGCTAGCATCACATTTTACAAGTCGCTATATACGGAGGCCACAGTGAGGGCCATCAGCAAGTGTTATTGCCGGATATTAAATGAGCTGATACTGGATCGCCGGGCGACGGTGGGATCCATCAGGCGGCGGGTGGGCTCTTTTGCTGTGTAAGGTCGCCGACAGAAGGCGGCAGTAACAGTATTCTACAACCACTTCCAACGTAGGGAAGGCTTGACAGTTGTTTGGAGAGCTTATACAGGCTCTGAGATACGGTAGGATCTAGACCCTAATATTACATGAGATTCTGGTTTTCAAGGCCTCCAACCTTGAGCCAGTCCCTATGCAGTCTTTATCCTCTCAAGTACAGAAAAAGAACAAACAGCGACGATGACTCCCAACCCCCCCTCGCCACGGCTTCCCATCTACGAGAAGAGAGAGGTGTTGGGTCGAAAGGATGAGGGTGCTGATGGAGAGGCAGGCTATGACGGTCCACTGGATCGAAACGACGACCGGGAGGAAAACAGCTCAATGGCGGGGGCGGCTGTCGATCAAAGGTTGGAGTTCTTCTTGGCTGGCACTCTCATCTCTCTCATCGCGCTCATCGTGGTGCGGGTCGGGCGTTAGGGGCTGCGACGATACCTTACGAGGCCAAGGCTTTAAGTAAGTCGCCTACATCTTGGGTTAGAACCACGATCTTCTTGACGCCGAGTCTTGCCGGTTTGCTTGCAAACTAGCCAAGAGGTTCATAGTCACCGACTTACTAACAGCGCTTTACTTAAAGCAACCCTATTAACTAACTTTATTAACTAACTAGTTAACTTTATAAATAGCTTTATATTAACTCACTAACTTTAAGGCTAAAGTTAGGTTAGTTAATTAATTTATATAGAGTTAGTAGTATAATGTTAGCTACTGTAGATAAATATTAGAGTTATTAGATTAACTCTAATGACTTATTACTAGTAAATCCTTAGATAATTAGCCATAGATCTACTAAGGATTTATAGTAATAAGTTAGTTATTTAACTAACTAACCTATAATAGTTATCTTTCTTTTCTTTATATATAATAGAAAATATAGTTACCTTAATTATTTATTAATTACTACTAATATATAGTTATCTCTTTAACTATATATAGTAATTACTTACTAGTAAGCCTTTTCTTATAACTTTATAATATTTAATTAAAGTAGTCTATAAAACCTAATTACGTAAGAAATATAGTCTATTTTTACTTTAGTAGTACGTTTATTAATTTATCTACTATTATCTTAGCTAATAAGATATAGACTACTTTAATCTTTTATTTACTATTTCTAAGTGTAATGTTAGTTAATAGTTAGTAGTAGTAGTAGTAGAAGAGAAAAGGGATCTTATAAGTGCTCTCTATATCGTAGTGTTTTAGATATAGGTGTTTTAATATATAATAATAGATATAACTATATAAGCTAGAAAATCCAGCACTGTTTTAATTATAACCTTATCTATATTTCAAGTATTCACCAAGAGACGCAGCTGAGTCCCTCCTCATCACAAGGATATTTCGGCTTCACCTGCAGTTATCGCCATACCTCTTAGCTTACATATCCTTTGATAAACTCCAGAGAGATCCAAGATTTCAGTAAACTACTCACCACCTGCCAGTCTGGAGGGTAGGGCACAGCGTGGACAGTCAACTCGTCCATGTCAGGCACTGGGCTTTTGAGAATAATGTTGACGAGGTATGAGGTGCAGTGAATAGTGTGGCTGTAGTTGAATGGCGGATCAAAGCCCTTGTTCAGCCACAGGTGCGTTTGCCGTAGCGTATACATGCAGTGCACAACATGCTCGCGCTTCGTCAGCCACAAGGTTGTCAGCACTCGGTTTGCTGGATCGACCTCGACGGTGCCCTTGCTGTCATAGAACCGGTGCCACGGCCCTGCTTCGAGGAACCCGCGGATCAGCTCCTGGTTGTCGGGGTCCTGGACGCGCTCACGCGGGTACCAGTGGAAGCTGATGGGGTCCCAGTCGCACCCGCGCTCCAAGGCCACTTCGGGACGGGCGCCGTTGGGCGCGCATAGATATCCCGACAAATCGAGCTGAGGACGGCTGCCGCTGTCTGCAGAGTACTCCAGGCCAGCAGCTTGTAACCTGTTGTAGAGCGTTACCAGAGCTGCAACGAGAAGCACTAGGAAGACACAAGTCCATATCTTGTTCAAGATAGGTCGCACCGGTCGTCTATGCGACGCTTCATCAAACTCGACTGGTCTGTGGTGCATGGAAGAGTGCAGGTGAAGCTCTTCAAACGGAAGCATTCGCGTTTCTGCTTCTGATCCCAAGTCCAAGGATGAAATGCCGGCGTCGGGGGCTTCCTGTTGCCAGCTCATCGTCAAGATTGGTTTATGCAAACTTGGAAGTCCTACCTGCATGATTGAATCTGTATACCATCACTCGGTCGCTAAAGTTCCTCTACAGAGTCGTATCTGCAGTACGATATCCTGGGATACTCTTACCCCGTCCTCCTCCTCTGTAGCTAGCGCCCCGGAAGGCAGGGGGATGCTGGCGACAAGACGGAGTTGGATCTTCTGGTTGGGGAGGAGGATGCGGGGTGAGGGTTTGATCTGGCTCAGACAGACGCGGAGCCGGCCGGAAAGCTTCAATCTTGCCGATCAAGCTGCGCTGGACCACACTTACCCTTTAGGAGCGAGTCGCGTCGATCAGATGCTTAACCCCCCATCCGCGGCTACTCAGTTCTCCGACTGTGAATAGCCGTCATTATGTACCTTCCGACCCTGCAGGGAACCGCCTTGGATTAGTACCCCAGTATGGATTGTTCTGTAGGAGCACGCGACGGGGTCAGTGGTGGTAAAGCACTTTGAGGTCTGCGTCGTTTGTGGAATGAGATCTATGGATACTACCCTACACGGCGTGACTGCCGAGATATTTGGTGTGAGAAGCCGTCTGTCGGGCATACTCTCTCATCTCCCGCAATCACACAGCTACTAATGCGAACCAGTCATTTGCATCAAGATTATGAGTTCATCATCATCGGGTCAAGACCGGAGGGCGCGCTTTGGCTACATGGCACTTTCAGCATCCTCATCCTGTGAAGTGACCGATCTTACATCATGGGATAGCTACCGGGGTAGGTTCCTTGGGCCACACGACGGGTTTGTGTCCAAGTGCAAGCGCCTATGGGTCATTGTGCTGTTGGGCGTTTACTCTCTGGTTATGACGATCCTGGTAATGGTAATCGCAGACGCGTGTAGCGTCCAGGTTTCTACGCCACTCGGTGGCGACCCGAACGGCTTCGTGCCAGCTGGGGTGGGCGCGCCAATGCACTGGAAGACGTTTGTGCGCAATGACAGCAATCCTTACCACATTCCCGACGACGTGTTCACGGACCAGACCAAGACAAGAAAGACTGTTGACAGACTGATACAGATACATTGTAAGCAGGCAGCGATGGTCCTCCATGGCCGACTGTAATGCTAAAAGACGGCTCTGGCCGAGTATAACAGCATCGGCGGTCCGTATCAACGGCCGTCACGCCCGCTGGGTCCACGATGACGGCAGTGTGTCCACCTTGCCAGCAACTTTCACGCCTCCCAGTATGGGTCAGGAACAAGTTTACTTTCTTCGGGGCCTATATCAGATGCGCTGTATAGTAAGTAGACTTGGTATTCTCTTCTCTCGTACGAGGCCCGCCTCTCTGAACGTGTAACAGGCTGTCTTACTGCAGGCCTACGGCGACAGCATCCACGGCCGAAACACGTCGGTAGCCGTCACCGCTGAGACCGAGACTGATGGAGAGGACAACCAAGATGTCTGGCACTGGCCCCCGGAGCACGTGGCGTACTGCCTCAACGTCTTGGCGGACGGTGTCCAGTGCACGGCCGACGCAACGCCGCTCTCATTCGTCAACGGTTTTGGTTCCGGTCGCTTGACAGACGGCCAACAGACGTGGTGTCGTGACTGGGACGACCTACGTGGGTGGGCAGCGAACGAGAAGCGCAGCGTGCCCACGGCCCAGGGAGGTTCTGCGCTCAAAGGGCCGTTTGGCCAGCTGTGGCGAACAGTCTTGCCTTGAGTGTCGGTAGGCGGAAAGACTCGGTATGGACAACTCCGCCAGAACGCGCCGTACTATGAAACTGAAGCCTTTTTTACCATGACACGAAGATATGGTGCTTGAATTCTACATCACCAAGTATAAAAGCTGTTAAAAAAAAGCCATGTTTAAAGCGTTGGCTACATCCGGAAATAATAATACTATTTGTAATTATATTTCTCTAGAAACAAAATATGTATATCCTATCTTGTAGGAGATACGTGGCTCTGATATACTTATGTTGAGATATAACCCGCACAAGAAATGATTCTAATGGATCCTATTGAACAGAGTGACTTAGTACGATACTGCAAGCTTGCTTCGAAACCTTTGCCAACAGAAAGCAACTAAGGAAGCACCAGTAAAAGTGATCCGTTGTAATTCCTATTCCCAAGACTGCGTTCTTTTTCTCCAGTGTTCTGTGTACCTGTGCGATCCTGCGGGCATACGTGAGGCCCCCCTGTACTTGTATTCTTGTGGAATGTTGTAAAAGTAGTGCGTGTCGGCGAAGCAGGTGATACAAAGCTTCTGTAGGAAGAGGGAAAGCTTCTGGCTGAGCAGAGAAAGCTTCTGGGTGAACGTGAAAAGCTTCGAGTGGGTGTGGAAAGCTTGCTGGTAAACGGAGCTTCGCTTAAGATGGAACAATGCACCCACTGCGTTTCTAAATCGCCCGGCAAGGGCCGATAAAGTGCCCGAATTTCATAAACCGGAGCCGAGCTGCCGCAACAGAGGATTGTCAGGAGTCTATGGCACTGAAATTGTCCGTATAGCGAGCGGTACCAGGGTAGGTTATGAAGTCGGATTGCAGATGAAGTAAGCGCTACCAGAAACTCCTCCCATTGGAGCCCTTCTCTGGGATTCGTTAGCTGGCATTACATTCATCTGACCCGAGCACTGATAGTTTCAAAAGCAGGGGGATTCCATATATTGGCCTGGCAAGCGGGCTCAACTCATTTTCAGCCTCATCTACAGCTCGTCAAAGCCCATGCCGCTTTGATTGTTGTCTATACAATCCTTTATCATGACACCGCTCGCCCCTCTGGAGCCCATAGCCGTCTGCGGCATGGCGGTGCGTCTGCCCGGCGACGTGCGGAGCCCGGCCGAGTTCTGGGACATGCTCAGAGCCAAGCGCAACGGACTGGTCGACTGGCCTCGCAGCAGGGGCAACGCTAGGAACAGCGATGGGAAGAGCAAATCTCCCGCGTCTGTTGGACGGTTCGACGCCGGCGGCTTCCAAAGCCGGATGCCTGCCAAAAATACCCTCCAGGCGCCGCAGGCGTACCTATTGAACCATGTCTCGCTGGGCGACTTCGACCCTAGCTTCTTCCCGGTTGGGGCCAAAGAGGCAACACTCATGGACCCAATGCAGCGTCAGCTTCTTGAGGTTGCCTACGAGTGCGCCGAGAACGCGGGCGCTGGAGGGGTGTGTTCCGAGCCCGACGCCGTCCGCAAAGATGTCGGCGTCTTTGTCGGCGTCTTTGGCGAGGACTGGCTGCAGGAGAACGTCATGGACAGCCAGCTGGCCGGCATGTATCGGGGGACAGGCTTTCTCGACTTTCTCCAGGCGAACCGCGTCAGTTTCGCCATGGACTGGCAAGGGCCTAGTATCGTCGTCAAGACGGGCTGCTCGGCCAGTCTCGTGGCACTAGACATGGCTTGCCACAGTCTGCGCGCCGGCGAGTGTTCTTCGGCCGTTGTACTCGGCGTCAACCTCATCACTTGCCCGCTCATGACCCTCCTGTACACCGCGCAGGGCCTGTTGAGCCCCTCGGGTCGATGCAAGACTTTTGACGCAGCAGCGGATGGCTACGGCCGCGGCGAGGCCGTCAACGCAGTCTTCTTGCGGCGGCTTTCTGACGCCCAGAAGGCCAGGGACCCCATTAGGGCGGTGATCCGAGCAAGCGCCACCGGCCATGACGGCCGCAAAATCGGGCAGCTCAAGCCGGACGCCGGGGCGCAGGAGCTGCTGATCCGCAAGACGTATGCACTGGCGGGCATCCCCGAGTCCGAGTTTGGAGACACAGCGTGGATTGAGTGCCACGGCACGGGCACCGCCGTCGGCGACCCGATCGAGCTGCGTTCCGTGGCAAACATCTTTGGCCACCGAGGCATCATTGTCGGCAGCGTCAAGCCCAACGTCGGCCACTCCGAGGGCGCCGCCGGCCTGACAGGTCTAATCAAGGCTGTGCTGTCACTGGAGCACGACACTATACCTCCCAACATCTTCTTCGACACGCCCAACCCTCTCAGTATGTCATCATCTTCCCCCAAAGCAGCCAGCCAGCATTCTCACTATCTTCGCATCCTGGAAACCGACTCTTGCGTGATATTTGCTGACTTGTGTCTAGTTCCCTGGAAGGAAGCACGCCTCCGAGTCCCCGTTGACTCTTTGCCGTGGCCTGGTGGCCGCAAGAAACGCGTCAGCGTCAACTCGTTTGGTGTGGGCGGCTCCAACGCCCATGTCATCCTCGAAGCCGGCGCTTCTGGTAGGCCAGCTCATCCTCTTTGGCCTTGCCAAACCGAAGCTCACATCCTGCTGCTCAGCGCTACCCACCAGTGGTCGCTGCAGAAGCAGGTGCTTCGCCACCGTGACTATCTACTACGCCGCCGGCCCACGCCGCCGGGTCATGTGCGCAGCCTTCTTCGGGATATGGCCTACACCCTCGGTTGCCGCCGCCGCCACTTTCCACTACGGACGTACGCCATTGTTCGCGTTGGATCAGGGTTCGGCGAGGAAGCCGAGAGTCTCAAGACGGACCTGGCAGAGGAAGGACTGATCAACTTCAGCGACGCTGGCCATTCCTGTCAAGTTGAAGACGCTGCGCCGCAGCCTCGAATTACCTTTGTGTTTACAGGCCAAGGAGCCCAGGCGGCGCAGATGGGCTATGAGCTCTTGCGTACCAATCGCGTGTTCTCTGACAGTGTCTCCTACTTGGATCAGTGTCTGGCTACTCTCCCTGACGATCTGGCACCGGAATGGACGCTGATTGGTATGGCGCCCCCCATCCCCCCTCACAGATGGATGCAAAAGCCTATGTGGCTTCATTGCTATTGATTTATCAATAATACTAACCCAATATACACAGACGAGATCTCCAAACCCGGCCCAGCCAGCCGCCTACACCAAACAAAATACGCACTACCTTGCTGTACCGCTATCCAGATCGCCTTGGTCAACGTCTATCGTTCCTGGGGCGTCCATCCTTCAGCCGTTGTCGGCCACTCTAGTGGCGAGGTTGCCTCAGCCTATGCGGCCGGAGTTCTCTCTACTCGTCAGGCTATTATCATTGCCTATCTTCGCGGTCTCGCTTTACACGAAGGGACAGCACGGCCAGGTACTATGGCAACTGTCAGCTTGGGGGCTGAGGAGACGGTGCAATTCCTGAGCTCCGGAGCTGTCATTGCCTGCGAGAATAGCCCGAATAGCACAACCGTGTCTGGTGATGCGGACGCGGTACGGGAGACCCTCGGAAAGGTTGCCGAAGCAGACCCGCAGATCTCGTGCCACATGCTCAAGGTGCAAACAGCCTTCCATTCCCCTCATGTTAGGCCGAGTGCACTCAGATATGAACAATCGCTGGAGCCATTCCTTGGTGGAGACTCCAGTGGCTGCCCCTCGTGTTCGTTATACAGCAGCGTCACGGGATCTTTCAGCGAATGTCCCTCAGACCTCGTGAGAAGGCCGCGGTATTGGAGATACAGCCTCGAAAAGCCTGTGTAAGTTATGGGCCAAGTAACAGTAGGAAACATCAACTAACGTATTACTCCTCAGTCTTTTCAGACAGGCGCTGGAGCAGCTCGTGAGCCGAGAGCACTCGCTCTACCCAGAAGCCGGGTTGCTCTTTGTCGAGATTGGACCTCATCCCGCCCTGAAAAGGCCTATCGCGCAGACTCTCCAAGCTCTCGACGCAACCTTGAGGCAACAGTGTATACATATCCCTACCCTACAGCGGGGCGAGAGGGCTGATGAGGCCGTATTGCAATCAATAGGCGAGCTATATCTGCGGGGGGCTCTCCCGGCCGCCAGTATGGAATCCGTGCTTAAACTACAAGGGGTTTCTTGTCTGACTGACCTGCCCACTTACGCGTGGCACCACGGCGTCCAGTACTTTGATCCGCCGCGTGTGGCCAGTGTCTACAAGAGCGCGCAGTGTCTTCCTCATGAGCTGCTTGGCGCTCGGATTCCAGATGTTACTGACATTGAGCCGTGCTGGCGGTGCGTCATGGAACCCGACGACCAACCCTCGTGGCTAGGCCACCACATCGTTGATGGCCACACTGTTTTCCCGGCCGCTGGATTCATCGCCATGATCGGCGAGGCCATAGGTAGAGTCGCCTCCACTGCTGACGATGTCTTCTCCGTCAAGGGTTACATCCTGCGCAAGGTTGTTATCAAGACGGCTCTTATCCTACCACCGGGATCGACAGTAGAGCTCGTCACACGGCTCTCGCTGGCTGACGACTACGTCGATGACGACAATCTCGACCGGGACAGGACGTGGTACGAGTTTCACATCATGGCTCTCGTGCCAGACCGAGACGGAGACCGATGGACCAGCCACTGCCGTGGCCTGGTAGCTAGCGACGCTGGGCCCGCGTCCAATAGAGCAAATCATCTTTCTGCACCTAAAGACGGCAGCTTCGTACGAAGAATCGACACATCCGAGTGGTACTCCATTGCTGACTCGGTAGGCCTGTCCTACGGCGCCTCGCTGAAGGGCCTTGACGAAATCGTAGCGTCCACCGATCACATGGCAGCTTTGGCTACTGTGTACGATGACGCTTTCGACAACATAGGTGAATATGTGCTTCACCCAGCCGTCATAGACCTGGGGCTTCAGCTTAATCTGGTCGCAATGTGCCAGGGAATTGGTGAGAAGTGCGATCTCCTTTTGCTGCCGACGTACATGGAGGAGGTTGTTGTGGGCGCAAAGCCCCAAGAAAACCAAAACGACTGCGAAAGCAGACTAGCCATGCGAGCCGATGTTCGTTGGGTTGAGAGAGGGAGGAGCCTAGAGGGCACCGTCACCGGTACCGCCACTGCCGATGACGAAAACCATCAAAACGAAACTCGATATCGGCTCTCTATGCGGAATGTCAAGTTCATGGCCAAGCCCTTGGCCCGCCGCACATCCGAATATGATGCTAAGCTGCCGCCATCGCTCCGCCTTGCGTCCGAGTTTCAATGGGCCTATGACGTTGAGCTGCTCGACCCGGAGAATATAGTATCAGCTCTTGATATGGTCCAGCTGCTCGCCTACCAGAACCCGCGCATCCGAGTCTTAGTGGTTGGCGGTGACGGCGAGGTGTCTTTGGCATGCGCCGCCATGCGAATGCTCGAGACCCAGGTCATGTCCGACGGCGCGGTCGCGGCGACCCTCACTTATACGGCTACGGGGCACACTGAACTGAGACTAGCGAGGCTCTCTCTAGAGGGGAGGGGACGCTCAGGGGTGCGTGTCCTGTCGTTCACGGACATACTACAAGGCTTGTCAGAAGCTGGCCCTCAAGCAGAGGGCGGTTTTGGTCTCGTCCTCGTCGACGGGGCTGAAACACTGATTGGGATGTGCTCGGCCCTCACCCCGGCCCGCTGTTCTTCGCTCTTGTCTCGTGGCGGATGGCTTCTTGTAGACCGATCTGATGAGAAGTCCAAAACAAAGTTGGAAGAGCTTGGCCTCGTACTTGTACGTCGGGCCTGTTCGGCACACAGCTATGTCCGGCTGAGCATTGCGCGAAACCTTCAGAGTCAAGAGTCTGAAGCTCCGAGGTTGAGACATGTCATTGTACTAGCGACGCCGGCCCTCGACAAGCTGGCCCGGGCACTGCAGAGCAACCTGGGACAGGGCGGGATACGTTGTGAGATCCGGCACTCTCCCTCAGACAACCAAGGAACGCCTACCGGTGATGACGAACACACCGTCCTTGTGTCGATGCTCTACCTGGAGCAGTCGGCGGAGGAGACGTCGCTGAATCCCGGGTCCTTCAGGGGCTTCGTTGACAAGCTGCTCGCGGCTAAGGGGCAAATAGTTTGGCTCTTACCCCCTCTTCAGTCGGGAAGCACGGGTCCGGCGTCGTTGTGCCGCCGGCCCGACGCCGCATGCATGCTTGGCCTTGCACGCACCGCTCGCACCGAGAACCCCGCGCTGGGTCTTACGACGGTCGAGATGGACGTTGATTCAACGTCCACCTCGGACGCTTCAGGCGCCCTCGCTCGCATCGTTCTGCGTCTATGCCAAGCGCAGCTTGGGCCGGAAGACGGGCCAGACATGGATCGCGAACTCGGCATCACGAGAGAGGGAACCGTGCTGATCCCTCGAATGACATGGTCATTGCTCGACGACGACGACGACACCGCGGCCACGGAACCTTCAAATCGCACAAACAGCGGCGGAAAAGGGCGGCTCGTTCTCCGACCAGATGCGAGCTATTTGATCGTCGGAGGCCTCGGCGGGCTTGGGAGATCCCTCTGCCTGTGGATGGCTGCCCGAGGGGCCCGCCAGCTCGTCCTGTTCTCGCGCTCTGCCGCTGCCGAACCCGACGCAGCCATGCTCTCTTTCCTCGAGGAACTGGCATCCACCTTTGGCTGCGCCGTTGTTCGTGTGGGTGGGCGTGCAGAGATCCGCTCAGACGTCAAGCGCGCCGTCGACGCCGCCGACGGAGCTTCCTCACGAGGTCTCGCTGGCATCGTCCACATGCCCATGGTGCTCCGCGATCGGCCAATGAGGGACATGAAATGGGACGACTGGGTCGCCGCGGTGGATCCAAAGGCACGCGGCGCATGGAATCTGCATAGTGTCGTGGACAGCCGGCGGGCGAAACTCGATTTCTTCGTCCTGTTCAGCTCGGTGAGCGGCATTATCGGCCAGCATGGTCAAGCCAATTATAACGCGGCAAATACTTTTCTCGATTCGTTTGCGCTATATCGCCGAGGCCTCGGCCTTCCGGCCAGTGTGCTCGATCTCGGCATTGTTGGAGACGTCGGAGCCGTGAAACGCGATGCAACGCTGGCCGCCCAGTTCCGCAAAGCCGGCTACGTTTTCATAGGAGAGAGCGCTGTCATGCGGGCTGTGAGCATCGCCATGAGCCCCCTAGCACCGCCCCAGCTCGTCTTGGGCCTGCTGCGGGATCCCCAGGCGGCCAATACAACACGGGCGGTCGTATGGAAACGCGACCCCCGCATATCCAAGGCTTCCAGCGGGGGCTCGGGCTCGGGCTCGGGTTCTGGCGCAGTCGAGGATCACGGCGGGGCCGGCTCAAGTGTTGCGAGTTCAATGAGACACGAGATGAGGGACATGATTTCATGGGCGAGCGAGGAGCCCATCGGGCTAGTGACGGAAGTCCGACGAAAGTCTCTGGCCTCCTGCCTGGGCAAGGCCCTCTACGAGTTGCTGGCGATGCCGCTGGAGACACCGTCGCTAACAAGGCGAATCAACTCCCTGGGCCTGGATTCTTTCACCGCTGTCGAGCTGACAGCCTGGATCCAACAGCACTTCAAGATACACGTCTCAACCATGGAGTCCAACACTGACATTAACCTGATGCAGCTGGCTGACCTTATCATGGACAGGATGGTAGAGAAGCATAGACATGTGTCCCAGCCGGACAAATATTCCATGGTCCAGAACGTAGCTGTGCAGTAGTCCTTATTAGTAAAAATAATAAAAGAAAGTTGAGGTTAAAGTAAAGTAATAAGTTTTATAGTATTCTTTCTTAGAATATAACTTTTAGTATTATATAATACAGAAAACTAGATATTTCTAGTTATACATTTTTTTTTAATTAATAGTTAGAGAAGCGTTATTTTTTATAGAGTAAAGAAGTGTCTATCTTACTATATTAGCTAACTTACTATATATTTATATTATATAGTATATTTATAGGATACATTAGTAGTATTAGCTTAGTATATAATCTCCTACATACTAGTAATAACTTAGACTTATACAAAGTAAAGCTGTATAGACACTGCTATGGGATTTTGTAATATAAAACTATAACTAATAAGTGATCCTAATAGTGTATTGCTTTTCAGAGACTTTAAGACGAAATTGCCCTACTGTTCGGATATTATTATAAGCCGTCTGAACCCTGATACACTCACTGTCTTTATTCCTTGCCGAAACGTCTCTGATCCCTATGAGCACCTGGCATCTTGTACACGCCTCCGAGATTGACGAGGTAGGCAAGGCTGTTGAACTCTGTGTCGATGGATTTGATGGCCCAGCCATAAGACGAACTGTCCCTAATTACCTCCAAAATCTGAATACCCCTAACAGAGAGTTTCGCTTCGCCAAACGTGGCCGTCCACTTAAGTACAATCGTGTTACAACTAACAGCATCGACAGTCTGCAGCGTGACAGGCGTAGGGCGCCTGCTCTGCCACTCCAGCGCAGCCTTGAGCTCTTCTCGGTCGTGGTATGTTGGTGCCCCGAGAGGCTTGCCAGCTAATTCATTCATTCCATCGCAGTGGGCCACGACATCAGCCGCGAGCAGTTGGTCGGCGACTTCCACTGAGTAGTTTCGAATCAATTGTTGAAAGACGGTCGCGACTTGTAGTCCGTCTTCCGGACTAAGGCAGGGCAAAGACGACGTCGACAGTGGTAGTTGGTGTTTGCTTTCCCATTTCAAGTGTACGGGGAATCTTGCCAAAAGCTGCGCAAACATTATTTGGCCAGTGCCTACTGAAAGAAGAAGGGTGGGGAGGACAATGATAATCCCGATGAAGGATATGAAAGCTTTTGCCCACGCTGGAAACATCTCTAATGGCGTTTATGGGTAAGCCGAATAATGATAAACTCGGCAGCATCCACACACCAGGATTTCAACGACACTGTATTGACTAATTGATATAATCCCACTCTTGCCATTCAACAACGTCTCATGTAGACGCCCTCTATACACATACTCAGGACCGGCTTATTTAGGTTTAAGAAGAGATCTTAAGTCGACAGGCATACCTCGGCCACGGGTATTGCTAGGCATCAGGTAACAGATTTGAGTGGAGCTTATGTATCAACAGTAGCACTCTCGTAACCTATTTTGATTTACCTTCGATAAAACCCTCCCTTTCTCGAAACATAGTTAACTTAATTTACTAGACAAACTCTATCCATTGAATTGCCAACTGACCCCACTAACCCCTGGTGCGGAGTAGAGCCAATGCATTTATAGCATCAAGTCCGACAAGCCAATAGTTTCAAGGTACTTCTATTTATATGACGTTTTGCCTATGCCATAGGTACTAGTAATCTCTGCCGTTACATAAAAGTACATTACAGTCTAAGTAGCCCTACTAGGTCTTTTGTTAGGCTAGACTGTTGCATTATTACACTGCTCTAGGCAACACTTATCTAGGCTGGCAACGGCAGGGTCCTCTAGCAAGGACCTCTGGCAAGACCTCTACGTGAATAGTGGTATAAATAGAGGTATCTGGATCAAAAGACATCGTGATTTTAATGATGATGTTGGTGATAATGTTAAAATTAGTAGTAGTTGCTAACAAAATAACATTCTAAAACAATGTATCGTCATGTATGTTCAAAAGTGAGGGGTAAAAGCGGGGAAGGGTCCACGTAGAGGTTAATGGGGTCAGTTGGCAATTAAAGATAAAAAGTACACAAGTACATCATGGTTGATTGGCCTGTCAGGCTGGCAAACCCAGTGAGTCTGTCATTGACCTGTTCATCCTCGGCGCTGAGTCGTCAAAGCCAATCGCCATAAGATAGACGTGAAGTGAGCATTCAGTCAATCTTGCCCCCTGCTAGCCTGGAGACGTTGTAGGATCTATCGTCGGGATTTGTCTTCACAGGGACCAAGGGCAATATGTTTGGACAAAAGCGGCGATGTGGTGCCTGTCTTGTGTGCCGCGACAAAAAGACAAGATGTTTGTGTTCCTCCAGGACCATCTCGCTTTTTTTTAACCCTGGACGGCTAGGTCAGACTGACAGGAATATCCAAATGGAATAGGCGATAAAGGAAATCCATGCTTGACATGTCTGGTGAGTTTCTTTGCCTGCTACTGCACCGATTAATAGGACAAGGCCCAATACCGTGAACTGCGAAACCAGCGACTGGGTCACGAATGTATATATCCGGACCAGGCCCCTCGCCGACGCCGACGAAGCGTTGCCAACTTGCCTACATGGACCCTCAGTGACGGCCGCAACATCCTCAGATACGACAGCATGAACCAAGCCGATGTAATCTATAATGCACTGGGTCCAGCGCACACCCAGGTGATGCCCTTTCAGTCGCCATCCAGAATAGCGGTCCTCGGCGGGCTCGGACCCGACATGCTACGGAACTATGGCTTCGGCGGTCTCGACTATCAGGCAGCGGGCTCGAACCAGAATCACCAATTTGGCGAATCGGCCGGCGTTTTCGACCATCATTACAGGCAGATGCAGCAGTCGACGATGTTAACCCCCTCTTCTTGCGGAGAGTCCACACCTTACGCTTCGACCACCAGCCTCCCGTATGGCTCTGGGGACGAAAAAGCCATGCCTTATACCACCGCCTCTGGGGAGATCAATGAATCTTCCGCTGCCTCCACCTCGTCACATGGGGGAATGCGCAATGACTCTGACGAGATGGATTTAGCTGACGAGATGATCTGGTCCTTGTCGGAAGTTGGGAGCCCTTCTCAGGTTCTTGAATCGCTAGAGATCGCCTCCGTCGATGTCGATGTCAGGGGACCATCAAGCACATGCGGAGGGACACCTGTCACCGCTGCTGAGCGGAGGCCGCTGCCGGCCAGCGACTGCAAAGCCGGTGAAAAAAGCCCCAGATCCACTGCGCATGACTTTGCTCCGCCCCCGGCTTTTGAACCCATGGGAATGAGCTTCTCATCAATGTCCTTTTATGGCTTGCGCGATGCTGTTTGCCACTCACTTGGCAAAAGTCATCTTGAAGTAGCTTGCGTTGTGGACGCGTCCGCTAAGAATAAAGTAGACACCTGTAAAGTAACGAGGGCTGATATGCCCCGCGGAGTGCAACATCATGACAGCTACTGGTGGGCTGCACTAGGCGATGCGACTCTCGAGACGTACATTGCAGGTGAGTGAATTTTCTCGCGATCCGATGGCCATCCCGCTAGTCTGTTTCACTGGCAAATCAGTCACTTCTAACGCGCTTCAGAATTCTGTGAAATGACTTACAAGTATGTCTGCCTCTCAAAAGGGTAATAAGGGCAACTCAAGGCTCAAAGGCGCTTACCGGAATATTGCAAGTTTCATCAGCAAGGCCGACGTTCTTGAGAGGCTCAGGGAGGCTCGCCTTCCGGAAGCGAATCAGCTCGTCCGCAACTTCGTCTACGGCCTAGTCGCTCTCGGTGCATACTCCTACCATGGTCAACGGCAGCAGCTCCGAGACGACGTCGCCACTAGTAGCAGGACCCAGAAGGATGGTAGCTCCCCAGCCAGCTCCGAGAACAGCGACATTGGCGCCGATTGGGTTTCCTGGCGACTGCGTGCCGCTCTTGGTTCCTGTAGGGGTGTACATGATCTGCCAAGCAACATATTGAAACTTCAGGTGGGTGGGCTTCTTTGTCATGCCGTCTAGCAGGAGAGGACGTTAAGAGAGCGGATGTGCTGATGAATACATGTGTGGATGGCTTGCTAATCTGAACCCAGATGTCTTTGCTCGTAGTGAGGCCTAGTTACTATATGATTCCCAATCTTTATGGATGACCACTGACGCCTTGTAGGCCTCCATTGCACTCGAGTGCGAGATGCCATCTCTTGTGACCGAGCATATCACTAGCGCCGTCATGCACATTCGCGAACTGGGCCTGCTTCATGGGGCCCCCGACGATGTGTCTGGGCCGATCTTGGGATACACGTACATGTTGGATGTGTCGCACGCTCTTGACCGAGGAGTGCCTCCGGTAAGGCATCCTCTCGATCCCAAAGTCTGTCAGGAGAAACCGTACATTTCCCATAAGGCAATCCTGGGAATGATACCGTTCTCGCACTGAAAACGCAGCGCGAATGGTAACGTGATCTTAGACAATCGACTGCGACTGGGTGGGTGTTCCAGGCCCATCAAAGCACGTTTCGGACAAGAATCTGGAGGGAATACGTTGCCTGGCAGCCGTTATGCACAAAACTATCAAGAAACAGTTCAGTCCTCGGGCCATTTCAGCGATGACGGTCACCAGAGGCAACAGAGCGAAAAGGCACGGCAGCGTCAAGGATCACCTGCGGCAGTGGACCATACTTTTCCCCGATCTCAATCGCCGAACGAGGTCGGAGAAGTTATATAGTCTTCCCGACAGCGTGACACGGCTGGCCTACTGCATGTATCACCGTGCCGTGTTCCTTGTGCACTGCCCCTGGATTGCTGCAGCAGCAGGGTCGAATCCAACGTTCATGGATGCTGGCGGCGACGGTGGCAATGGTGGCAGCAGCAGCGACAACGTCGTCACATTGGCTAACGATTGCTGCATTCGCGCCTGCTTGGAATCGGCCCGGCAAGTGATTGATGCTATCCCGTTCTTTTTCTCCCCGTCGTCGGCGGGCACCATGCTTGAAAGGTAGGCGGAAATATCTGGCAACTATGTAATAGGACACGCTGGCTGACAGTTTTGAAAGGGATATGGCAGAGAACCTGGTGCTGACGAGTCTGCTTCTTATTTGCTATTGCAAGATAGACAAAGCGGTCCCTGAGGAACACAGGCGAAAGTGCATTGCATTGACCGGCCTATGCCAGGGATCGCTAGCGCGCATTAGTCTTGATAAAAGCGAGATAGGCGACACCAGCGCCGCCCACCCAGTGCTCAAGCATGCCCAGGTGATATTATCACTAGGCAATCCTTAGGGAGTCTTAGCCGGGACGTGGCTTTAATTTCGGCGATATTGGGGGGGGGGGGGTATCTTGTCGACGCTCTTTGGCGAGGCAACCGCATGATACTTTACTATGTAAATGCGTGTGTAAGTGTGTATGTGTGTATGTGTGTGTGATGCCATGAAAATGTCGTTACAGGGCGGTCGGTCCTAGGAAGATGCACGCCTCTAGCAAAAGAAAATAAAACCGCCAGCAACGTTTAGTCAAGCCAAGCCCTTCCAACCCTCCTCGTCGCGGCACTTTGTCACATCGCATTCCCCAGACAGCCTAGACAATGCCCTCACGTCAAGACCCGAGTCGTAGCGGAAGGGCAGCACCCGCACCGGGTCCTGGGCCCAGCGCACGAGGGCGCCAAAGTCGCGACACCGCGGCACACTGCTGCCCCAGCTAGCGCGGTTGACCTCGCGTACGCTCCCAAACGGCTCCCTATACCCCTCACCAGTGCTATCGGCCTCACACTTGATAGACTGGTACCATTTGTTAAAGCAGTGTATGACGTGGTGGTCATTCCATAGCGGCCGGAACCCATTCAGGAGTAGTCCGTAGTCACGCAGTGTCTCCATCATGCAGTGCAAGTGATGTAAACCGGATACAAGATAGGCCTCTGTCTTATTGCTTCCAGTCAGCTTGGGGTGGAGGAACCGCTGTTGGCCGGCCTCATCGATGTAGACACCATATTGCCCGTTAGCCTTGACCCCCGTGGCAACATTGGCGTACTCGAGATCGGATAGCCGCCGGTCTAGCATAGACACATTGTGGAAGATGTCGTAGGGTATCGTCTCAGCCACGTAGTAGCCGTAGTTCAGGGGCTCTTTGGCCTTAGTGACACCATCCGGTACCATGGGCTCAATGGGCGACAGCCCGGCCGCCGTCGGCTTCGGATCTGCGGGAAGGACACGGCGCTGGGACCAAACGACGAGGATGCTGACGGAAAGACAGGCTATGATGGCCCACTGGATCCAGATGACGACCGGGATGAGAGCAGCCCATCGGCGCGGACGATCGTCGATCAGAGGTTGTAGTTCTTGGCTGACGCCCTCGTCACGACACAAGTCAGACGTAGGGGAAGGCGGCGATGGCCCGCGAGTCCAATGCTTTGGTGAGTCGCCTCTATCTTGGGTTGACACCATGACCTTTAGCATGCTGGCTGACTCTTGGCGGTTTGTGGGTCAGAGTCACACGGTGTTACTGATGGTCGTCGTCGAATTGGCTCAGGGCTTGCTTGAGCGATTCGGTTGTAGAAGATATCTGGCCCTTTCGTGATTAGCCAAATGAAGATGAAGATCACCTCGACAGGGGGGTCCAGCACGTACGTTCTCGTCGGCAAAAAGAGCGTAGTGGTGACCCGGCGTGTGCACCACGGCGCATACAAGCCCCGGCTGCAGCTCACCCCAGCCAAGGTCACCCTGGTCCCTCAGCGCGTCGAGTCGGCACAAGCCGCCATCACTCGCGCCGTGCGGGGCCGACAGTGGAATGCAATCCATGGCCTTGACTAGCACAGTCCGCGGCATGACGCGCAAGTCCCACGAGGGTGGTCGCCAGGATGAGCAAAGGACGTTGGCGCGGACCAAGGAGGCCAGGATCTCGTCGCGGGTGCCCAGTGCCATATCAGCAGGCATGGCAGGAGCAATGGTTCTGAGGTTAGAGTTGCCACCGGAGCCGGAGGACCGGGTCGGCGAAAGGTAAACCGTATCGACCAGTAACAGTCCTGTGCACACGAGGCCCCGGCCCTCCTTGGCCAGGAGGTGGGCCATCTGGATGGCGACGATACCCCCGAACGACCATCCTGGTTTCTCGTTAGACGACTAAAACAAGCAGAATTGGGGAAGAGAGAACAAGAGGGATGCCAGAAGGCTGGCGTACGGCCCCGCTTACCTCCCAGGAGAACAGGTCCACGCATCACAACCTTCTTGATGAGCTTGATGTAGTGCCGGGCCATGTCATCGACACTCTGCCAGCCACCGCCTTCACGCCCAAAGTGAGGGTCGCTGATGCCATATACTCTACGTCCGCCGTTAAGAGAGCCCAACCTGAGGTAGTTGAAGATGTTGCCGCTTGCATCGTGCACAAGGAATAGAGGCGCTATGGACACGCTGGTGCGACGGTCACTACGGTCCGCTGGGACGTCCTGGATAAGGAAAGGGTTCTTGCTGGACACCATTGTCGAATCATACGGGCAGGTACAGGCGCTTGAGAAGCGGAGGAGGTATGCGGATTATGTCTGCGGACACGCTTTCACGCCCGCCTCACCCGGACGACAAGAGCATGGAAATATCTATGATATCAAGACTCTGCGGGAAATCATTCATCACGGTTGTACTCAAAGTTCCAGTAGTGGGGCTCGGAAAAAGGATCTTAACACTCGAGGTCAGAACTCCCCCGCCTTCTCCAAAAGATCAAATGGTCTGCTAAACTTTCGTTCTCAATCGGGAGAAACTTCTTCATCTCTCGCTCAGTACAGAGTAAGGAGTCAGTGTATGCTGCCAAGCACACGCTGCGCATCACAACTCAGCTCAGGCCCAGAGCCACGTGTGCCGAGCCCCTCCTGGATTATGTCTTGAGTCTCGTTGTACACCTTGTTCATAACCTTTTGCAGCGCCTCCAGTGTGATTGGGTCACGCGGTCTCGACCAGCCGTAAGGCACCGGCAAACGTTCTTTTTCTGCTCACGACGCCACGCCCGATTGCGAGTCAGCGCGAGTCGGTGTGGCTTCAAGGCTATATGCCTAGGGCCCACGGCAAGTGCAGGACATGCACAGAGAGGGAATCTCACCAAGAAAGTAAGTTAGCCAAGTGCGGTTCACTGTGCCAGCGTCCCGATCTCCTAGGGTTAGGTAAAACCCTGCCACCTCGCCTAGGCTACGAAAGTTGTCCTCTAGTCTCATTTCGAAATCAACATTAGTACTAGCCGAGGTCTGGATGCGGCTTAGCCGCGCTGCAGCACCCTGTCGGATAGTGACAACGGAATCAGGCCAGTACTGTAAGCTTTCAATAAACACATCCTGGTTAAACACACTTGGGTCCCCAAATCGGTTGTCTAGGCGGCTAGCAAGCCATAAGTAAGCTCACAGAAACCAAATGTGACATAGGTGCTCAAGAAGCTTACGTAAGGCTGGCATCGTGTTCTATAATGCCGTGACGGTTCAGGTGGTCTAGGTCAAAAGTATTGGCGTCTGGGTCTGGGTTTGTCAGGATAGCGTGGTTGAAAAGCAGCTTAGACACATAGGGGTCCACGTTAATGCCGTCGCTTAGTGCGCGAGTCGTAATGTCCAGTGATATCCCTCGGCCGTTAGAGGGTAAAAAGCCGTGATTTGCCAATGCATTCAACATGGGACAAGGGCAGCGAACTGGAGAGGCAAACTCTGTTAGCCAGCCCTGGTTGGAACAAGGCCACAATGCCTACCATCACCAGGGCCAGGCGGGTGCCACTGGTCAAAAGATCCTTCCAGGCTGGCAATGGCCAGCGGACATAGGACCGGGAATAAGCATAGACGTTGTTGCAAGATCATGATGGGCCGAAATGGGTGGTGAACAGAATGTTTGAATGACGCAGTAGCTGTGGTTTCTACTAGCAAGCTCTCACAAGACCAGTCCTATCGAGGCACGATCAAGAAAGATCTACTAAACACGAAGCGAGGCAGGATGAAAATCTCAAACCTTATATAAGCTATGATGCTAATACCGCGATGTCAGAGATCGTATCACACATGTAGACTATTGTATTGCCTTCGCTCCGGGCCGAAGGCTTCAATGAAATGTTAACGGGTTTCGTGTGCCAGGAAAGTATTAAACCCCTGTACAGCGCATTGTTAGATAACCCTTTATTAGGATACTCTCTTATTTATAATACTCACTATAATACGTATTGATTTTCTTGTTATCAGTCGCCCAAGTAGAATGGATGAAATGCCTGCTATCTACTATAGATACTAAATAGCTACCTGAAGTAAATAGCTACCCAATAAGTACGTAGTACCAATGGGGGTTTTAACCTACCCTTATGGGGCGTACATGCTATCTTTCAGCTAAGAAAATACGTTAGGTGTGATGGGCAATCAGCTGCGTATTGCTAAGAGTACAATATCATAGAAACTGAAGATGGATATATTGACTACGTAAGTAAACTATATCTACCAGAAGTAACGAACCGGGAAGGATCTTACTCCTAGGCCCACGTTAGATCTACATTACATCAATCATGTTGAATGCGTGCCAGTGAATGGAAGGAATTCATCAACACCATATCACTAAAACAGGCTTTTTTGGTTAGTGTAACAAACTCCACTTTCAACTCGGCATACTGCTCATTGTTGATGAGCATAACGCAAGCATAGAAAGGAATAGAGACCACCTGAATGCAAACAGTGCGACTCGTCCATGTGCCGCGCCATGTGATGAGAAGGCTACAAGGGCTCCTGGAAGAACCGCTTCATCGCCTTACTTCAAGTTATGAGTTGTGTCTGATCTGCCAGACTCTCCTCGGGCAGGCGAAGTGGCCGTATGCTGCGGTTTTCCGTCTCTTACAAACCAGCTCAGGAGGCCGAGGCAGCTGGCAGTCCAGGCCATCAGCCACCACGCCAGGCCCGCGTTATTGCTAGCCTTACTAGCCGCGTAGACTCCGCCAGCAGCCAGTGGGCCTATTGTTCGTGAAACAGATGATAGAGTGACGGCCAAGCCATGCGTCGCGGCCAGGGCAGCCGGGCTCGCCGCGGAACTGAATAGCAACACGAGTTAGAGATGTGCCCAGGAAAGCCAGCGAGCGTCCAAGCAGGAATTATATACAGCAATGGGGTGACCAACTTGTTCACCATTAGGGTCGCCGAGGGCACCACCATGGCCGCGGTGAGGACCATGAGTAGCTGGGTTACCAGAATGACGAGCCACATGAGAAACGGCGTTTTGGCTGTAACGGCGATTAGCGGGGCGATGGCGAAAGCCAAAGCCGGACACCACAGAAAACACCTCATGGTTCCGATGGGCTTGAGCTTGTAGCTGACTTTGGGATATATGAATATCTGAATGGGAAGCGCGGCGACGGCCAAAATGACCAGCGAATAGGCAATCTGGGAGGGCGTGAGACCTGCCCCTCCCGAGAGCCGAAGCGGCGATTCACCAGTCTTGGCGGTTACGGGCGGATCGCTAAGGAACAACGGCCACAAGGTATTGTAGCCAGCGGTGATGCCGTCTAGCATGGCCTGGCAGCTGGTCGCGAGTAGAACGTTAACTGTCAGGGCCTTCCGCAGAGATATCTTGCCGGGAAGGGGTCGAGGCGCGGCGGCACTATGAGCGACCGACCGCTCCGCCCCATTTTCGGAACCCCCATCGTCGTCCTCTGTCAAAAGCGGTTCCAGGTGCTGGGACTCATCGGAACCCCGCTTGTTTAAGAGTTCATAACAGTGCTTGCTCCCCTCAAGAATCGTCTTGGGGTCCCGCCAAAGGCGGATAACACCTTTTTTGATGCGTATCCCAATGTCGGGCTGCCCGGCCAGAGCGGGTAACGTCTGCCCGTTCGATTAGCTGCTTGTACTCTTGGATACATAGACTGGAAGCGTAAAATATGGTCCGAGAGAATTACCTCTTCTAGGAGGAAAAAGACAGCTAGAAAAGCCACATAGATGATGCCCCCTGCCATCAACATGGGCGGCGCGTACGTCCAGCGGGCCAGGAAATCGTTTCCAGCGGCGTGTTTCTGTGCATAAGCAACCAGAAGACCAGCAGCAGGTGGCCCGACCAAGACGCCAATGTTGAAAGCTAGAGGGAGCATCAAAAACGCCTTGACGCGGTGCTTATCGCTAGTCACAATCTCGGAGATCATGGTGCGAGCAACAACCGTCCCACCGCTGAAAGTGCCTTCCACAAGGCGAAGGAATATGGCTTGGGAGAAGCTGCGGATGAAGCCGAAACAGATGGTGCTCGCACCAAGGACGCCCATACTCATCAGCAGAACGCCCTTACGCCCGAACCTTGGAGAATCGGCAAGCCGGCTTACGGGTAGGCTGACAATCGCCACCATGGCCGTCAAGGCCGTCTGCATCCAGGCAGCCTGACGCACAATGTCCGCCGACGACAGAGTGGGATCTAACGACTGAAGCTGAAAGTATATATAGGTCTTTCCGAGGTGAGCAGCAGCTTCTTTCAGCCGTCCGAGGGAACACTTACGCTAAAACTCGTCCGCGTAATCGGCTCGCATAATCGGGATAGACACAGTACCAGCAGCTGGTCTTTGTGGGGCATCGTCCGCCACGACGAGCTTTCGCCGCTGACGCCTGTAGCCTGGGTCATGACTGTCTGGTTCGAGGGATAGAATCACAACGATGAGTATTTGGTTCTCTCTCTTGGCGTACCGCCCGGACGCACAGTCAAAAAGGGTCTCAATGACTGATGTATATTTGTGAAAATGTACATGTGTAAACATAGATGCCTTACAGTAAGCATAACGATTCATCATCTGAGATTATGAATTAAACACACTGCATTCTAATTTCCACGCTGCATGTGACAGTCCAAGGGCTGGCGATGCGGAACACCCGCAAGGGGATATAATGCGCAGGGTAGAGCCCAGCGTGTGTGTCAGACCTTTGCAGATACCCAATCACCGGCGAAACTCTATGCTTAGGTGTATGGAGTCAATTATGAACCGTCACCCTGTACTTTATGTACAATGTATATACACAGTGGCCAGTTGATGTCCATATGGCTTCTTGCTTTTTTGTCAGACGTCAGAGATCGCTATCTGTTACCCAGTCCGGCGTCATATGAATGCGTTTATTGCTCACCGAGGCCAGCCGCGCATCTTTGACGGATATAGAAGAAAACACGAATCCCCTCGGGATAGTGCAAAATATCGCATCCTGACCCTCGCCCTGGATTGAAGTCTCTTTTGCAACCTTATATCATCTGTGGCTTCGAAGTGAAGCTTATCATCAACGCTTTACTATCAGGACCATCTTACGTGGCCAATTCAGCACTCATCAACCCTCACGAAAACAAGGAGGAAAACACTCTATGTCGGTTGTAAGGCCGCATTCTTCGGAGGGCCTTCTACCAGAGGCGCCTAGAAGCTACCGAGGCCAATGGTTGCGGTGGCTACATGGCCTCCTCGGCCATCATGCTGCGGTCGCTCTTGCCTCAGCCGGTACTCTTTTCATTCTCTTCTGTCTGTTCGGACTTCGGATGCAGGCAGATCTATCAAACCTGCAAATAAAAGGCTACGTTGTCATAGGACCAGCCTGCGGCCCGTCGTGGCCACAGGCCGAGGCGGCCGGATGCGTCTACGACCTGCTATTGAGCGCGTGGACGAGTCCGCATTGTCACGATCCGGAGCTCTACAATCAATATCTTTCTCAAATCAATAGCACATTTTACCTGGAAAGGCAGCGGGAAAACGTCGTCTCATGGAACCAAGTTCTGAGTGGTCGACATCCGGAAGAGGGGCTTTGGACGGACGGCGGATTCCACCACCTACATTGCTCGTACCTATGGGACCGGCAGCGCCACGCTTATGCGCGTAGCAGAACCACTGGGCAGCCGTTCATCATGGACACCTTCTCCCGAAACGAATCACACGTGTCGCATTGCATCTTCTGGAATGCTCATCCCTACCCAGCGGAACTTATTGCGCCCAACATCACTCATATATATCCTCCGAAAGACCCTGTCCGATGCCTGCTTGGATACTGAAAACATCCTGAGGATCGATAAGGGTGAACACCTATCCAAGAGCCACAGCCCATTATACACTTTGCGAGAGATCAGAGTGATATACCGCTGGTCAGCATGTCATCTGCGTAGCCAGGTGATTGCTTGCAGTAGCAAACCGCAGAGGAGAAGCTAGGTACAATGTTCGATTCCTATCAAACTGGAAGGTAAAGCGGGAATGTCAATACTCTTACGTTGATGAAGCAGCCTCATTAGTATTTTGGAGAGAATAGGGATATTATTCATTAACCCCGCCTTACTTGGTAGCGTTTCAGCTTTGGCAAACGTATACATGTGTAATTGTTCGAAGAACATTGATCTAAGCCTAGCACTCCCGGGCATCAGAATGCGAATTTCTTGAACAACCAGCCTAGCCAGTGGAGTTCGGGTCCTGCACTGGATTCTGGAACAGATGAAAGTGACGTGAGCCATGCTATAGACCTGACAAGGTTGAACTTTCCGGCCCGCGGCGCCGGTGTAAGGCGCTTGTCTTGTTTAATAATTGAACTCTCCCCTGGTACCCAAGGTGGCCCGAAATCAAGGGAAAGTAGCTAGCCAACGAAACGATGAAAAACCACTTTTCCATTGAGCCTCCTATTGCTGTGGGCTTTCTTTGGGCTCGCATCTTTGCATAATCGAATAGCCCCGACGGATCGGTCTTCTCTGAGATGGAAACTAAAATTAGACACATTTGGAGTAAGGAGCTGAAGATTCCTCCATGTGAGACACCTGCCCTACATGTCTTGGAATTTTCACAGGCTGAACTCGACGATAGCTGCCATCGGCTTGGAGGACGAGTTTATAGCCCTGGGGGGCGATTCGGATAATGCCATGAAGGTTGCCCGGCGCTGTCGTGAGGCCGGCCTCAGAGTTTTAACCGTCGATATCCTTTCCCATCCGACCATTCATGAGCTCGTACGCTTTGTCGAGGCTAGGGATAGTGGCGCTGACTATGGTGACACCTGTGCCGGCCACAGCGGCCTTGCTCCCAAGGTATACGATGACGGCGACGAGCCGTTTGTCCTGAGCCTGGGCGATCTGAGATTGCCGCCAGATTTATGTCCGAACAACATCGCCTACGTTATGCCGTGCACGCCGTTGCAAGAGGACTACTGGCACCTTTTCTCGACGAACCCTGCGCCTGAGAGGCCAGGAGTCATGACCAACTGCTTCGAGATCAGCCGCCTAGACGGCCTGGGGACCGTTGATCCCTACCAGGCCGCCGTGGCGTGGCAGATGATGGCCGACCACCACCCGATGTTGCGCACGCGTTTCGTGCCGCTGGCCGAGTTGGGCGTTGCCCCCGGGCGTTTCGGCCCGCTGCCCCTCGGGACTATTATGCAGGTCGTGATGCGGCGGTGGCGCGTCGACTGTACCGTCGTTCATGTCGACTCGGACAGCGAGCAAGACATCAAGCAATATAGCGCGGTGCACACGGCCAACTCGTTATACAGGGCGAAACCCGCCGCCTGCGTGTCGGTCCGCCTCTTCGTCACGCCAGCGCGGCGCGTCTACATGAACGTTTTCCTCTGGCACATCTCGGCCGACTTTGTCAGCACCGGCGTATTCATGTCCGACTTTGATCGTTTCTACCGCGGGATCCTACCGAACCGCCCGGCGCCTGGCTTCGACCTCTACGTCCACGAACTCGGGCTCATGACTCGGCGCGGTCAGGCGGACGTACAAGCTGGCACCCGATACTGGATTGACTATCTTCACGGCGTCAAGTCGTGCCGGCTTCTGCCCCGACATCTGGGCGTCGTCGACCGGCGATCTTCGTCTGCTTACTCGGACCCCGATGGCAATGAGCTTACCTGTGTCACGAACCTAGGGAGGGTATCTTGTCGCCTATTCCTCTGCAGTATGTATGCCAAGTACTGCCGCGGGAGCCACGTCCTGCCCTCCACCATTTTCCGCCTCGCGTACGCCCTGAACCTATCCAAGTACACCGGCCAAGAGGACGTGTGTTTCACCTACATCATTTCGGATCGTGACCGCGACATCCCCAATATCGACAGCATTTTTGGCATGATGATGACATACTTCTACGTCAAAATTAGGGCAACACCGTCAGCCCGCTTGTCCGACTTGATGCAGCAACTCCATTACGACGACCTGGCCCACAGAAGACACATGATTTACCGCCCAACAGACGTCGCCCGCGCACTCGGCCATGATGACGAGTACGGCGTGCTCCCGGTAACAAATGTGCGCTTCAACGACCGCCGCCTCGACGTCCCGCGAGGGCCCGAGCTTGGTTATCGTGGCGTTATCGCCAACCTGGTCCAAGAGGCGAGTACCTGTTTCCTTTGCCGTTGCAACTATACCTCAGGGCTCTCCCTGCTAACTGTAAGGCAGCTCTCTATGTCATTGATTCTGATACCCAGTACGGATAGGGACTATGCGAGCGCCCATTTCACCTTTAAGAAAGTCCAGTACTCGGAGGAGAGCGTGCAGCAATTCGCTGACATGTATGCCTGCATCTTCCACGCAGTGGCATCGGGATCATTCGACACTGTTGCGGATGTCATGGCACATATGGAGAATGGGGTTCCTGGGCTTCAAAAGAAGCCAAGCTAGCCACAGGGGAATTGAGACACCTCAAAGAATCTTCAATGCGACCGCCATCAACCTCCGTATTGAATCATATTATTTACCTGTACAACTGTTGCTTGACACGCACTCAGGGAGTTGTCTTCTCACAGACTACATAGAAGTCGCTTATAGAGGCGAAGGCCGTGCTATCTTCTATCCAAACGCGCCAGTGCTTGTGTAAGTCTTGGAGATCAATACTCTGCCCGATTTCCTTGGCCTCCCGCTCGACTTGAGCCCGCGCCGCGGGGCTGGCGCTGGTGCGAGCGACTAAGCCACCCCACTGCTCGCGCTCGTCTCTTGAGGATATGACCCAGGGAATCTGGCCTACGCGAACGTCGTTGAGCTCAAAGCCCTAAGTTTGACATCTTAATATGAGGGTTACATGACGCATAACCAGCACATCCTCGACAAAAGAATGGAGAAATAACAATTATAGGGGGGTAGTTGCTGCTTACCGCCGCTATTGCATATGCTTTCAGCTTCCTGCCAACGTAGGGATCGCCCCCCTTGGCCTTCACGATTCCGCTGATCACTTCGTAAGTTCGGCGGATCTAGGATAGTTGATTTAGCCCAGGGACTTTTGGGTGTTCTTTGAACCTCTTGATCTCGGCCGTCCAAGTTCTAGGGAAAGCTCACCTGCACGCTTTCAGGCCACAAGGTGAGGCATCCCCTATCGGCTTCTTTGCAGCAGACGAAGCCGCCGACCTTGACCGCGAAGCGCAGCTCGGCTAGGCCACGGGACGGGTTCGTAGTATGCATCAGGACGTTGTGGGTGTGGGCTTTTGACCCGGGACATGTCATGTAAGTTTATTTCTTGTCCAAGAAACTGTGTCCAAGGGACGGGGGCGCTTCGTATCGTGTCTGTCCTCACCAAGATCGCATCCGCCCTTTACACGTTCGAAGCCGGGCTCGCTGGCTGTGGGGGCCAAATTTAAGGCATCTCCCAAGGCGAAACGGATATTGTGAACATCCGCTTCTCGAGCAGCGTCTCGGGCGTGGGAAATCACGTTCGGGCTGCCTTCAATGGCCAGGATAGTAGCCAGAGGATAGCGCCTGGCGATGTCAATGGTGATGCTAGCCGGGCCCTAAGAGATGGTGAAGGGCGTATCATGGTAAGCAAAGCGATGGGTAGTCAGAGATTGCGGCACACATACGCATCCGACATCGAGAAAAGTGAAATCCGGCGGGAGGGATTCGAGCACTGAGGCTAGGTAAGGCACCGAATTGGCAAATGTTCGCTTCGCGATATGCGCCTCAATGGTCGGAATATTATATCCTAGGTAATTCCTAGTCGGGTCCGTTTGCGAGGGCATTCTCAAAAAACCACAATATGTATAGTTTAACTTTCTCTTTACTTTGGAGGACCTATCAACAATGAGCTGGGTTCAGTGGCATGATTTGAAATGTTTCCTGCCCTCCCTGTCTTCCAGATATAAACTTCAAGGGCGGTTAACGGCTTGTTGTCTCATTCACGAGTTGCTAGAAGGGCGTCATAAACCGAGAATCTTTGTACCAGGAAGTCCCACGAGCTACCAGTTGCTGATTTCCAGACATTTTGGCTGACATCTATCATATCTTTATCACTTGCGACACATTCTTCCCTATGTGGGTACTAAGAGTGACTGCATTACGTACCCATTCATATTCTCCATTAAGATTATACGTTAGTTCGTGCCATGCTCGAGTGGTGGGCTACACAACGATCCTTGAAGATCCACCTGTGCATCAGGCCGCCTGCACACGCAGCACTGCATGCAAACAGATTAGGCATCCACACGCCCGAGTGCCGTTGTTACGTCCATATGCAAGCCAGTGTGCAGCATGCAAAGTATGCGAAGTAGACTTTGAGATAGGCCGGAAGCCAACTCTTTAGACGTGGCATGGGCAGCAACGTACGATTCATTATGATTTATTGGCGCCCTGGCTCCGGGCGAAATCTCGCCCGACAAAGACAATGGGCCGCCAGTAAAGCTTCCGGAAATCTTGAACTATACCGGGCTGTTTCAGACTTTAACCTTCACCAGCTCGGTAGTGGGACATAAGGCACCGTAACCCGGACCGGAGGATGGGCAGCCAGCAAGTTGATTGGTTGATCCAAAGGGTGTTATTCTAGTCATGTTGTACATCAGGGGGGTTCGAGCAAATCCATCACGTGGATGTCTACCTTCCTCAGAGAGTTTCTCTCGGGCTCCTCTCACTCCTCGAGAGTCCTTTATATTACGCAAGAACGTTGCTCAAGCATGGTCAGGACCTTGCTGGTAGCGCGGTGAGAAATACAGCTAATCTTGGCCCGGTATAGCATGCGAAGTAAGCAATGGACATAGGCTGTGTGTGTGGGACAGAAAAGACTGATACAAGAGGGGAAAGGGCCATTTCTGTTCGCACCAACGATATATCATTAAAGCTATCAAACATGTAAATTTTCCTTCACTCCTCAAACTTGGTGAGAGCTTATCGTTACGCACGAGACAATCTGCCCTGTCCACAAGTAGAGAAACCGTGTAAGGCTGGTCACCTTTCCCCAATGTCAGATACCTCTCATTCACCATACGAGGCGGACGCGCTTCGCTCCTCGGATGACAAAGACGACGCCTCCAGCGCAACGACCTTGATGCTAAGCGAAGTGGCAGAAGCTAATTGGGGAAAAAAGCGTGGCCAGAGCTTCTTACACTACCTTGAGGAACATCATGGGTCACGTTGTGGGTGTGGCTCCTTATCCAACTTGATCACTACCATGCTCCTTCTGGTCTCTGCGTGTCTCAATGTGTATCTGGCATTCGGGCGCCCGCCGCGAATCGTGACGCATCATGACGTTGATGTGGGATGCGGCGCCTTCCCCCTAGGGTCGGATCCCTCCGGTTATGTTCCACGAGGTAAGCTATTGGCTCCATTACCCCCGTCCCTTGCCGCGCGCATGCATCAAGAGAAAGTGTCTGATGAGAACCGATCAGATGTGGGGTACCCACTTCGCTGGACCAAATGGGACGAGCATGATGACTTCTACATCTCGCCCGCAACATTCGACAGCTGGGAGAACATTCAAAAGTCGGCAGCGCGGCTTAGGGCAGTCCACAATGGTATGTGAGCGAGAAGGTCATATAGAACAAACTCTGTCTAACCAACGACAGATGTCTTTGTGCACTCCAACGGCCAAAAAGCAACATATCTCGCTTATGATGGGGTGCGCAAGGAGCTGCCGCCTGAGGGTGGCCAGTTCGGCCTGGAATTGTACGGCATCCAGGCCTTTCATCAGATACATTGCGTGGTACGTGTCGCCTTCTCTGATCATGTTGATGCCACCCAGGCTGATCACAACTACCAGTATGTCCTCCTTGAGTCTGTAGGCTGGGCACGCCACAATCGCTCGTCCCAATGGCACGGTGAGCATGTCGCGCATTGCCTCAATACGTTGACGCAAGCGGCAACTTGCCTTGCGGATTCGCGGCCCTTTGCCTACGTCGTCAAAAGCGGTCACCGCACCGACGGACAGCAGAACTGGTGCCGCGACTTCGGCGCTCTGGTGAATTGGGTCAACGACCCGGTGAGGGATCACAATTTTCACTACGAGCTGGACTGGAACGACACTGATCATTTCATGCCCATCTACCGCAACGGCTCCGTTGCGGGCAAATCTGTCGACAAGGCTGTTTGGTAAATGCCCAAGTCCGACTTGCCACATGGATCAAGAAGTTCTTTGGCTATGGACATGGGTTCTTGGTCTAAATATTGAGTTCAATCGGCTACTTCTCCGGTGATTGTTGGCTACGTTTTAAATACCGACATAGGCTTCCCTGTCACCACTGGAGTTTTGACTCTATTACTTTTACAAATTACTATAAAAAGGATGTACACTAACCAAAACCGCTCAAAGTCTACAGAGATCTTTTACTTCTTATTATCTTTATAACCTAATAGAAGTTTTACTTAAGTAAAAAAAAGGATATTAAAATATTTAAAAGAGATAATTAATTATAATATTTCTTATAAAAGTAGAATAGATAATACTAGCTTAAATAATACTTTTAACTTAGTAAGATATACTAATTTTAACTAGGCTAGTTATAAAGAGACTAGAAAATCTACTTCTAGTTATCTTTTTACTTTACTTAAAAGACTTATTAGTTAGGAGTCTAAAAAATAGTTAACTATCTCTTTATCTACTACTAAGGCTAGATTTAATAGTCTATAGAAGCTATTAGAGAGGTAGTCTAGTTAAAAGGCTTATTATTAAAAATAAAAACGTACTATATATATATATATAAGTTATAAGTAAATCTAGGTAGAGAAAGTAATTAGTATTTTATAGGTAAAATTATATATTAGGAGAGAGCTTATTTAGAGAGAGGTAGATTATATAGGTAATAACATAATCATTATAGAAAGACTAGATATAACCTATAAACACGTTATACAGTTTTGGAGATTTATAAAGAAGACAATAATCACTAGTTTGAGCTTATTTATATATTAAAGAGAAATTTACTTATATAAATAGCTAGCAGGTAGGTAGAAGGGGCTAACTTACTAGAATACGTGAGTTACTATGTATATACGTTATATAAAGTCATCATATACAATGATCTAGCAGTCTGACTGCTGGTCGATTTCACTGCTATTTCTTATTTGCTGCAGGTTTGACCAACGCGCGGAAAACACAGTAGCGGTCACCACTGACAGCAAGCACCCAATTACAATATATGGCATGCCAAGCCAAGCATTACCCCAGTCCATACCCGTACGGAACAAGGCCGAAAGAAAAGGCCCAGCGATCAAAGTTCCTATCGTATCGAACATGCTCATCAATGTGTACAGCATAGCAACATCCTCCTCAAAAATAGATGCTAGAAAGCTGCGGATGAGAAGGCGGTAGCCAGAACCTAATGTAAAGATACCTAGGCCCATCATCAGAAAGATGGGTGTATATGCAAGCCCAATAACGAAACCACCAACAGTAAGTAAGACAGCACTTGCTCGTGCCAGAAACAGCTTCGTATACTGGACAGACATTGGCCATTTGTATACTAAAAAGTAGGTCGCTGACGGAATAAGAATGATTAGGAGTACTAGATTAAGAAAAGCTCGAATAGAAAGTAGTAGACTAGCCTAGATGAATTGCCTTCAAGTTAGTATGAGGTTATACAGTATTCTTTAGAGCTTTGATAACTAGGAATTAAAAAGATGGGAAAATCTTACCTCGGACCACGACCAATTGTATCGTTTTGTTACATACTGTAACAGAATCTCATGTTGAAAGTGACCGAGGGTTGTCAATAAGAAGGTAAACATGAGCAGTAGTATACTCCGATCCTTCCATAACACCCACGATACAGCCTGGCGTAGGTTTGTTCGTTTTGACCGGGTTGTGTAATGACATGGATGCGACTTGATAATCGTCTCTGCCCTCAGCTCGCTTGTCTTGGTGAATGTAAAGGCTACAACTGTGGCGAGGACTAGGCAGCCTAGGCCAATGTAGATGGAGAGCCAAACGTTGATCCTCATTGATAAATACACTAGAGGGCTAGCTATCAATTCACCTCCAACCGCAGCGGCAGAGAGGTATGAGAATACGGTCGATCTTAGAAGAGTAAGCCCCTTGCCTGGTAACAATCGAGAGAGGACAACAAGGCCACATACCTATGTTCTGAGTTCACACATTCACCTGCAATAGCGTATACTAGAGCAGTAAAGACGGCGGGTCCACCGCCGATAAACGTAAAGAGGGCAGAGAGCCACGTCATACGGATAGAACACACGGTTGGTAAAGTGCCTTTGGTTTAAGATGTTAGCAAGTCCAGCTGGGCGGCAAGTGATTGGATGTTGATTGCGGTTTGTTAGGGGCCGTACAGATCAGAATCTGGAAAGCTTGAGACAAAGTAATTCCCAGGAGAGATAACGTGAGAACTATCCCGCGTCCCCGCCTGTCGGCGAAGTATCCGTACGGAACAGCAGTCAACAGACCAGGGATAAATTCCAGCGTTCTCTGCCAGCCTCTAATGATGGAGAGCTCGGACTGAACAAACTCTTCTTTGCACCGTAAGTCATCGGCAGCACTAGGTGACATCTGCGGCTCAAGGTTGTGGCAGATAATTGCCTCAAGCACCTGATTCAGCGGTATAGCAATGAGGTGAGCGCCCAGCTCAATGATGACGATAAGGAAAATGCATATGGCGATGATAACCCGGGATTTGTGTGGTGTTGGCTTCTCCCCGCCAGCTAAGTTGCCGCCAGCTAGGTTGCCGCCAGCTAAGGATGAAGGTGGTGTGAGCAGGGGAGTTACCTCGCCGCCCTTGATGTGATTTGTAGACCGAATTTTATAGTATTGCCGAGACATGTTCAACAAAGTGTTATTTGTAGAGGACTGCTGTTTATCTTGTGCAAGACCGGAGTGAAAGACAGACTTGGGTAGGGGGAAAAGGTAAATTGGCGAACCCTTTGGTATTTAAATGCTCAGTTTCTGTCGTTTGCTGCCACGCGCTAGAATCGATTAGCATTAGGTATAGGCTATTCAAACCTTAACAACACATAATTTTCCCCTTGCATAAGCCAATGATTATCCAACCTGATACGCTGTCGTTTGCTCGAAGCTGCCTTCCGCAGCCTCGATGAAATGTTGAGGTTGTCAAGAAACGGAGATTCTATCTAGCCTCCCGAAGAGGCTGGGCGAGTTTCTTTCCCCGCTCGAGCAGCGCTCCCAGGCCAGGATCAATTACTAAAGATTGGATTTTGTGCGAAGCTCCTTCGACCACTTCCCCCCTAAACAAGATTGAATGAAATTAGAAACGCCATGTACGGAGCAAGGCAACAACTATACATAGCTGTGCTTGCTCTAGAGCCGGAAAGTGCACCATAAAACCTGACTCTACAAGTTGCCTCCCCAGTAGTTTGTCTTTAAGAGTCAATGGAACACCAGGCACAGGCTGGAAGCTTGAACAACGGCTATCCTAACAGGAAGATCGTTCTATGCTTGGTCGGAAATCGAGTCAGCGGGTGCGTAGCACGAGTACAATGGAGCAAAAGTTTGGGACCCAGGGTGATGTGTATGGAGGCACCTGATTTGCGGGGTTCCAACCTTTTGTTCCCTCACTGTACTCGTGCTACGCACCCACTGACTCGATTTCGAGGAGACCTCTACCCGCACTCCTGAGTACTCATTCACGCCACTTATGTGGCCTCCACTTGGGTCGAAAGCAAGCTTTCAGACTGCACCAGCACATTCGTTGCCCCAAATACATTAAGTCAAAGCACCCGCTTTCTAATCACCCCCACTTTGTAATCACCTATTTACACCAAAACTGCTCTTTTTTACTATAGCTTTAACTATATAACCCTAGTCTTAATAATTCTAAGAAAATTATTATATATAAATAATTATATAAAAAGTTTATATACTAGTTATATAATTTTTTTACTAAGTATAGGTAAAGTATTAGCTACTTAAAGCTAAAGTAGTAAAAGTGTTAAGGTTTTAGTATATTTTACTAGTATTTCTTAACAGTATTAAAATCTATATAACTTTAGAACTATAAAGTAATAAAACCTATAATACTTTATATAGTTACTTTATAATATAAAGTATATATTTACTAGCTTATACTATAGACTATACTAGCTATACTATAGTATATACTTAAATATAAAATTTACTAAGAAAATTTTATTAGAGAAATTTTAATTTACTTATATAAGCTTATATAAGACTATATATATTATATAGAAAATATAACTACTTAATATAGTAAATAATATAGCTATTTATAAAGTTTTAAGCTTATACTACTAGTAAATACTAAGTTATAGCTAATAATAATTTACTAGTATTTTAGTATATCTTTATATAAAGCCCTATATCTTAAGTTATACTAATAGGAATATAGTAAAAAACCTAGTATAGTAAAAGTAAGTATATAACTAACTATAGAAATTTTTATAGAATTAAAGAAGCTAGGGTTATACTATTATAGCTATAGTAAAAAGGAGTAGTTTTAGTGTATTTTAGTGTATTTTGGTGGGGAATAGGTGATCGCCAAGCGGGGGTGATCGGAAAGCGGGTGCTTTGACTTACCTCGACTGGCCTGACTGATATCTAAGCAGAGGTAAAGGCGAGCAGGATTAGCAGTGTATAGAAGGATCATACACTTATGATATAATCATGGGGTTTCTTCCTATAGCCGCTCTTTTGTCACACTCAAAGATAATATACCTAATGATCTCTACCTGTCTAACTGTTGCTCGATAGTTCCCGTACTATCTTGTCGTAAGTAGAACGCAGGATATATACCTAGTACGTGAAAAACGGTCTATCTAAAAGCAGTAAAGGGCGAATTGATGCAAGTATATAGCCATAAGTCTATAGGGGAAAGTCCCTACTCCCTAAGACACTTTGCTAACCTTAATAGTTGTGTTGCTAGTCGTAGCCAGGGCCTTGTAAGCGTCTAGCACTGTCCTGTGACAGCATGTACGTATAAACTAGAATACTAGCTATGGTCTGTCTAATTGCTGCTTGGCTTTTAAAGCCTGTCTGTAGAGGAGAACTAAAAAGCCTAGATTCTACTGACTGTTTCCTAGATTAATACTGCTGGACTTTTTAGCATATGAGGGCGGCTACAATCGCGCCAACAACGCTAGGACAAAAAAGTATCGCCGTCGAACTCCCAATGCGTGCCCCGCTCTTCTCAATCCCAAAGTTAAGAATGGCATTTCCCACCGCCGACAGGCCTTGGCCAACTGTGATGGCCATTTCGTAATAAGAGATGTATGTGCCGGAAGACGTTATGGATGGCCCCCTTTCTTTCTGAACAACAGCGGCTTCGTACGAGATAATTGTAAGAGGCACAAGACCACTCAGCGGCGAAATGCAAACAATGCTAGCAATGCAGATGGATGCAGCCATAAACGAGGTTCGTAGAAATATAGCCCCTAGGCTTGAAACGCCCAGCGTCAACAATGCCAGAGCCCACATCTGCCGCAGGGCTGTTATGTCCTTATTCATACGCTGACGGACAGAGCCACCCAGCGATAACGACGGGTCCCATGACCGTGTAATAGGCATCTGCAGTACGAAGCCACAGGTTTGGGCAATCAGCAGGACAAAAACACTGGCCTGCGCCATTAGCCCGGCTGGGGCGGCTTCGGCGCTATTTCCACGAGTCGCCACGTCTAATGATGTGTCAGTAAGCCAAGACGTTCACAGGCGGGTAGATGGTCGGTCCTAGCTGCAGCATAAAGGTATATGAGGAAAGAGAAACATACAGCTGTCGATAAGATATTTACTTGCATAGTGACTGACAGGAAAATATGCATACTGGCAGAGGATTTGAACCCCGCATGTGCGACGAGTCTTGGGGGGGAGTGATGTCCTGGCCCTCCAGATGTCCCGTAACAGAGCTGTAAAGCTGCCGCCCTGCTGCTCGACAACTGGTTTGTAACATTCGGCAGGCCGGACGAGCCATACAGGGACAATACTGAATATAACGCCAGAAGAACACAGAAAACTAACAAGTTGAAAGGACGGGTTTGCAAAGCCAGCAGCTAGCATGCCTACAGAGCCTAGAGAGCCCAGTAGCGAGCTCACGAGGTTCATGACAGGCTGCTGGCGAGGTGGCACATTATCAACAATCAGGAGGCGAAAGCCTATTATGTAGGCGCGTACGCTCATCGTACCTGTAAAGATGGCTGCGGTGCTTAGCCACCTTGCCGCAACCATGTTGTTGCTACCGGTGATCTCGCGGGACCACCCCAGAACCAATTGACAGACGGCCATTACTGCCGCCCCGGCGACGAGGAAAATAAACCGTCTCCTGGAGCGGTCGCTTAGGATGCCAAATACCGGCGATGCCGTCAGGCCGGAGAAGGGCCCAGCAAGCAGAACCAAGGAAACTTGGAAGGCAGTAAGACCGAGATCCTTCAGGAGATATGGCTGAGTGGAGTGACAGGAACGTCAGCACGGCGTTATTTCCGGCTAAGCAGAGTCGCTGCAGCTTGCGTAGCAGAATGACAGCAAAGAAACGGTTAATACCGTATGAATGCCTGACTTACAACGAGAAAGACAGTAAACATAGTGAAATAGAATTGGGAACTGCCGGCTGGTCAGCCGCGATAGATGAAGGACGGATCTATCGTTCTACCAACAACATTGAGGGCATGGCGTAGGCCACGATGCACCACATGTTGATGCGATGTTGGTCGTACAGCTTTCGACCATCTGCTGCTTGCCGCTCCAGTCCGTCATCATCACACGAGCTCGAGGATTCGGTCTCGTCCAACGTGCAGAGGGGAACATCAGCGTCGTCTGAATCCAGTGTTTCGAATGAAGGCATGATTAAAGCGGGCGGCGTGTTTTCTCCTCTCAGGCGATGGAAAGAAACAGAGGAGGGCTTGACGGATCCGATTTTCCTAGAAGCATAGAATTCTCCTCTATTCTTGTACTTCTCCTCAAAGTTAGGGTTGAGGTTTATTTCTCGCTGCCGGGGAATTGTCGATTTGAGTTTTCCTCCAGCGGGGGCTTCGTAGAGCCGCCCGCCGTCTTGAGTCTAGCTACCTATAGTCTCGGATATGTGGGCTGGAACTTAGAGATATCACATGGAGCATGCAAATAGTACTTAACACTTTGGCTCTGCCTCTCACTAATGAAAATATCTGGCCTGTTTATTGCTATACCCTTTAAGTGTGAAGCAAGCCACCACAATTATCAACCATCATATGCCTGGATCTTCAGAGATTAATGAAAGACTCTGCTCTGATAAAATGAGAAGAGACTTCATAAAAAAACTGCTCTTGGTATGTACGTCTTCCCACTCGAGCTTCAAAAGGCGAATTGTAGTGACGGGGACGGTTAAGTAGAAAGAGGACGAGCCAGCATATGAACAACCGGTTGCCGACCAAGAGAACGCAGTCGATACCTCACAATTCAAGAGGCCAACCAGGAACATGTTAGTAGCTGGTAAAACTGGATTCTTCACCTTGGGGCTCTTAGTGGGTGTAGGCATGAGTGCTGCTATTGTTTTCCTTATGCCTTCTAAGGTGTATGTTAGTCTGTATTGTGAGTGACCTTCATAACATAGAGGAGACAAGCTCGTTCTAGAGCAGTGCATATACCCTGGCTAGAAACACGGGGATCGGAATGACGAGGCAAAACATAGATGAGGAACTAGTTCTGTGAGCTATGGACAGGTAGTAGGAAAGGCACATTGTAAACAACGTGGAGGTCACTGTACAATAAACATAACGCTTCTCAATCAGTACATCGCATAGGTAGAATGAGATAATCAAGGGCCAGTTGGCTGGATTAGAAGCTTGCCAATTATCTTCCCGCTGCAAAAAAGGTTCCCAAACGACCCGGCTGCATTTTCGAGACCGCAGACTACCTCTAGTCGTGCGATTCTTGGTAGACCGCCGTCTTTCTTGATATCCTCATACATCTGCTTCTGAAAGCTGGCTGTATACTTGGCTGCCAGATCATTGATGAGAAACCCGCGAATTGTCAGTCTCTTGTAGACGACAGGTTGCCACAGCCATGACCTAGAATCCAGCCCATCCCCGCCAGACACGCCAAGCTCTGCTGTGTCAATGCCAACGCTATACTCATCGATGGCATCGCACACGACGATTCTCCCCTGGACCTTCATACACGCCTCCGCCGCGCGCATCTGGGCGCCGCCTACACTAGCAAAGTGTATATCGATTCCTCTTGGCGCGGCACGGCGCAATGCTGCCTCGCCGGCCTCGCAGCTATCAAAGACAAAGGCTTCGTCAAACAAGCCGGTACCCCGTAACCAATTGACCTTTTCAGCAGATCTGGTCGATCCTATTGTGTAGAGCCTTTCCCGCTTACTGAAGTACGCAACCGTCAGGCCGACCGTACCCGCTGCTGAGCTGATATAGATGGTCTCGCCGGCCTTGGGCTGCCCGCATTCGTAGAGACCGGCGAAGCCCGTAAGACCGGGCTTGAAGACCAGACCATGGTTAGCGCAAGTCATCCTTACTATTACCCAGAAAAAATTGACCTTGCGGAGTATGCAGTATGTCCGGGGCTTACGTATAAGAACATGAAGGAGCACGAAGAACGGTAGCGATTGGGGTGAAGCAAAAGCAACAAAAAAAACACAAAAATAGATATAAAAATCCCCCCGACGAAGAGCTGAAGGGGGACTCTGGAGGGCCAGATAGTCTTGATAAATCTACTTACAACGCCCAAAACCCCGAGCCAATGGCCCTTGTCAATGCTCATCTCCCGCACAACTCGCCCAATTGGCACAACCAGGCGCTGGTTCGCGGCGGCCGCCGAGTCGAGGAAAGCGTACTGCGCCAACGGAGTCCTGGCTAGCCACACGACCTCCCCGAGGGGCAGATCAGGTACTTCGGACCGAACCACAGTGCCCACCGCGCTTGTATTCAAAGCCTCGCCGACGGGAAGCGCGGGCTGGTAGGTCCAGGCTGAACTTGGGTCCCTCAGCTGAGAGAGCAGAAAGGGGTCAAGAGAGGCCAGATCAATGCGCACAAGGACGCCTTCGCCGGCGGGCAAAGGCATGTCTTTCACCACAAGATGCTTTCCGGGCAGAGGGAGGCCACCAGCGGGCACCGAGTTGAAGACGAGGCTCGGGTTGGACATGATGGTATCGATGCAATGGGTTATAATTAGCGTGCCGAAATGCCAGAAACGAGTCCAGACGCTGTTGGTACGGTTACCGGCTGGGTTTCTTTTTTCCCTCTTTCTTTTCTAAGGAGCGAATATCCGATCTACCTATTACGTGAGGAGGAACGCAGCTGGAGGCTAGCCAACGCTTCCCCGGGTAGAAGCCCTCCTGTTTCGCCTTTTCCGGTAAAGGGGGGAAGCTAGGGTGGTGGATTATACTTTGAGTCTTTCCGGTCACTGAGTTTGCTCTAAATCGCAAGCTCAACCGCAGCCTCTTATCTCGGCACACTGGCTTTCCTCTAGTGTTTCAAAAATAGGGAAAAGGGTAAAATAGCGTCTGTAGCTTCGGGTTCGAGTAGTAATGGTAGTAGTAGTAGTAGTCGTAGGAGTAGGTGGAGGTCCAGCTAGTGTCGGCTGCTGGGAGAATTAGATCGGACTTGAGGCTGACTCCAAAAAGTGTCGTACAGCACTGAACCCAATCAAGCCGAATTTATCTGTCAGTGTGGTGAAAGACACAATGGCCCCGGCAAGCAAAGGTAGATATCGTCGTCTCGCCGAAACATACAACGACGACAGCCAAGATGCCGATGGAGGACATGCATGTGATTGTCATCAGAAAATCAAGGATTTGAGGAGAAGGCTCCTGGTCTGCATCATCTTGTGCTGCGCCCTTGCCATCTATATCGTCTGCCTCGGTGTGCGTTTGTATCCGAGACTCATACGGCCCATGGTTCCGTTGGGTGCCGATCCATGGGGCCTCGTTCCCTTCGGTAAGGGAACCATGACGTTGCGGCCTTTTTCCCACGGTTGGTACGCAGGCTGATTCTGGTATAGAGGTGGGCCAGCCAGCTTCGTGGCGGTCATTCTACAACGACTCACGAGACCCTTATTGGATTGACGAAGACACATTCGACAACCTGGATGACATCCGGCGCGCCGTCCGGCGTCTCAAGTGGCTGCAGAACTGTGAGACTGATATTCCATGAGCGTCAAGTCGTGGGCACCACAAGCTGGTTTGCTGACGCTTGCTTTCTTCGTGAAGCGACGAATATTCGTACAGGCGGCCGTACAACCAAATATCGTGATATGAACGGCAAAGAGGATGTGCTACCTCCGTACCACGGCTCGACGTCGACCGAGTTGTTCGGAATTCGCTCGTTTCATCAGATACACTGTATTGTAAGTTCGCTATCACAAGGTAGACAGTACATCGTTCCCGAGCAATGGGCTAACTCCACCAAGATTGTCATGGTCGAGGATTACGGGCACCGCCTGCACGGCGAATCTTCACATTGGACACCAGGCCACGTCATGCATTGCATTAACACGATGCGGCAGCTGACGCAATGCATGGCTGACGCCACCCCGATCTCTCTCATCAAAGGCTCAGAAAGACACCTGGGCGACGGCCAGCAGATGTTCTGCCGTGACTTCGATGGCCTCCGGCACTGGGCCAACGCCCCCGAGCGAGGCGTTCGCTACGCCATCACCTCGCCTCCAGGTGCTAAAGACGAGTATGAGGAGATCTGGCCTTACCCGGGGGAGTCGGATCCTCCGGCGGACCTGTGGTGAACCCGTCGCGTGCCCATTTTGCTCATTTGTGTCGGGTGGTAGGAAAACGAACGTCGAGTCAACGCAGGCCGCCAAGAAAGAAGGACGTTGCTTTCCCTTTGAAGGGTTACCGGGAACTAATCGTGGTCTCTCTCTCAATAGCAAAGGCAAAACCCTCCCAAGAGGATCTGATCTGAGCTTGATGAATCACTGTTATATATCGATGGCATTGGGGCAGGTCTGTTTTGGGTAGGGAAGCTCTTAGGAAGAATTCCTGCGTGTCTGCTCGTGGAAAAGAAGGGTTGTGTCAAGCACTGGTGTGTGAAACGCATTGAACTTTTCCAAAATAGCTCGACCTCTTGAAAGGTTCTTCGTAGGTACCACGACCAGTAATTAAAGTGCCTACACACAGGGGCAAAACACGTGTAGCGTAGAGCCTTAGTCTTGAGCAATGGACAACTTGCAACCGACAACTCCACACCAGATTATTGCATCCCGATCTCGAAAACTAGAAAATCATCAACGTCTTGGTCTTCTTGAAGCTTGGCAAGCCAACTATACAAAACTGTCATGCCACAACTAATTTCTCCGAGTAGAATCGCGCCTTACCTTACTTTCAATGCCATCCCGCTTCCAGCAGATCTAATACTTACGAGGAGACACTCCTCGCCTACTGCAGTAAGTATCAGAGGTGACACTGTGTACTTGGGTGAGCCTACAAGAGGCTGCTAAAATGTGCCGGACCTATAGGGAAGCTAGGTCCTGATTCCCAGGGAATGATACCCTGTGTGGGTTCGTGGATGGTCTTAGAGTTTGCGTGAAGGATAATAAACTAAAAAATCAAGAATAATTAATACTATTTGATTTAATTCTGTCTTATATCTTGTATATCTTCTTAGTATACATTATTACCCTATTCCCCTTCCCCTCTTTTCTTAATATTATATAAATAAATACTTAACCCCTACTCATTATAACTACTTATTCTACGTAAGAACACGCGATTCTTCCTTATCTTACTTAGTTCTTATTATTATATAACTTATAAAACTGTTTTCTATGTCTAGGAAGTTGTCTATCTTACTAGGTAGCTTGGTGTATATGTTGCGCCGCTTTAGCTTCTTACTAACTAGTAGAGCAACATCTTGTTTAGAGTTAAAAAAGGCTTTGACAGAATTGAGTATTAATATTACACTATTTATTTTGCATCCTTACAATAGCCTTGAAATCCATTTAAGCCACAGTAGTAGTCAAACTCGTCGCCACCCATATGCCATTTCCATGAAAAGCACGACGGTATTCCCACATGGGCATCCATAGCGTGCCAGTCCATGTGGCCTAGTTGTTTGTTACTAATAGTTCCATTGATGAGTCCTAAAGAGAGGGTTCTTACAGTCAGGGCATCTGTCCCATTGATTGTCTCCGGAATCTCGATGGCGGTAGCTTTCACATGCGTAGGTTGTAGCATTTGTATCGAATCTCCACTACTTAGTAGTAAGCTATGTTCCAGATAGAATTACACACGGGCGTACTTACGTAGGCATCTGTTTCTGCAGTTTTCCCATGGCGTAGTCCACAAGCACAAAAATTGTGCGGATCAGCTGAAATAAAATTAATACAAAATCTATGTGTGTTAGCTATATTCAAGTAAAGGCAAGCAAGGTCAGAGTGTCATACAAGCAACAAAGTCCAAGGAACTGTAAGAGCTTCATACTGATAATAGTAGAAGACTCTCCCTAGATAGCTTAATAGAAAGAAGTGTTGAATAGTTAGGATTGTGATAGTAATGTATTTGTTGATGTGATTATGATGCTTATTTGTGGGAAAATCCCTTCGGAACCACGGGTTTACCCCTATTTCTTGGATAGGATATCCTGGCCTAATTCTGGCCCTCTAATTAGTTAACTACCCTATCTCTTATTAAACGCGAAGTCCGCACAGGCCACAGGCTGCTGGAAAGGGGTAAGCGGGCTGGCAGAAACAGGGATCTAGATATAGCAAATGCAGGGAGTTATTTACGTCAGCAGCAAGTTAGGTGGCAAGGGTTAGGGTCCCATAGGTAGGTAGGTGTGTAGGTAGGTTCACCGCCTTCTACTATAGGATCAGCGTATGGCCTGTGCGCACTTCGTGCTTGATGAGAGGATACGGTAACCCTGTAAAGGGGGTCCAATTCACCGCATGTTCACCGCGTATTCGCCGCACGCACTTCGTGGTCCTTATCCCACCGGGCGCAAATGGACCCCGATGGGATAATAATTTGTCACATTTAATAGGACACTGAGTCAAGAGCACACCATAAACTTTTAGAGATGTAACCCCAATATATAGATGTTACACTAGTTCATCTTATTTCTTTTTTATATATTTTAGGATCTTGGAAACCTAGCGTTAAATACCCCAACCTATCCTTCATTTTCTAAGTCTAGTTATATAGGATTACATTCTGCTGTGTCCTAATATATAAAATTCAGATAAACCTACATCTGCTCTTCTATAATGCTTAACGTAGATAGTTGACCTGTGGGGTTGTATTCTTTTAATCCTTTGAAAGCCCTGCGACATGCGTCTACACTCTTTAATTACACTTCTGCTTAGTCGGTTTGCTACCACGTCTCCTGTCGTTCAAAGCCCTTCTGTTTTCCCTAGCGAAAGTTCTCTATCTGCAGACGACGAATTCAAGCCCGATTGGAACACCATCGAGATTGATTATAATGCAGCCTTGGAAAGGTTTGCTGAGGGCCCAACTCTAGTGGAGCGGCTTAACACGGAAGGCTCAAGTGATGTTGCCTATGGACTAGTGATTTCCGCTGCTGCGCAAGCTGCTTATGGACAAATAAAATCTTTAGTGAAGTGGAACAAGGTAATTCATTCTAGCCCAAACCTGGTTCTCGGTCTACCTACCGTGGCTAACAACATCGCTAAGGCCCGAAGAGATTTCACTCAGCTTACCACCCAAATCATGCTTGATCATAACCCAAATTCAACCCAAGCTATTGCTGCTATCTGTTATAATATGGAATATGATATCAAAGACCCAGATATGATGTATGGTCTGACTAGTCAAAAGATTTCTATCTGGCCAGCTAGCACCGAGTGAGTATCTTGTTTCTCCAAAGGTCATATTAAAGGTACACAAAAACTGAGGTGTTCAACAGTTACGACTGTTTTTATATAGGCAAGGGGAATACTTTCTGGTCCTGGGGTGACGGTGGTACAATCAATGTTAGTAAAGCCAACATCATATAGTCAGTCTCAACGTTCAACTGACTAGCTTCTAGCTATATACTCGGTGGTATGATGGACTCTGTAGATTTGATGACGAATCCGATTTGTACTGCTAGGTATATAGATGGGAATGGCATAGTGGTGGCATCACGCCTGGGTTCATAGTACAAGAGGGGTTGGGACGTGTTGCTCATCAGCCGTTGTTCGCGTCTCACAATAAATGACCTTTGGCCGCTCGGCCTCTTATGCCGGGTTGGTGTTTACTGGTCTCTCATGAGCTCTCTAGCACCTCCGATTCGATACAGTGAACACCATATTGAATCCAGGGCCAATACATCTCCTTGATCCAGAACACCAGGAACTGCAACACACAGACAATCTGATACACCTCCAACGGTTCACTCGTCGAGCCAATCATTTGGCTAGACCACTGTCAGGTGCCCGGGGTGGGGCCCCGGGGGGGCACTAGCGGTGGGGCCGCGTGCGGATAAACTACTATCCGCAGCACATAAAAGGGGAAAATCCCGCAAGGACTAAGGGCGAAGAGGAGGCAGATTGGAATAATCGTCACAATGGAACCCTAACTACACTATTCGTGGACTCCTCTACTCGGTGCGATCACAGCCTCTGACAACGACAATGTTTGCTATCTTATATATGTCTTGGAAAAAGGGATACAGGGTGTATGTCTATATACCCTTTACACAGTCGCACTTGGGGCAGAACGATACAAGATTGTCTTAGTTCCGTAGTAAATGGCAGGGGCCTGCGCTGGCGCTTTAGAAGTTGTCACAATGCCTTCACGACATTGTGCAGCCTTTAAGGGATCTAACTAGTGCTAGAACATCTATTAATCTAGACCTACCGCCTAGATCCACTATACTAACACATATTGTCAAATAGTAGGGATTATAATAATAATTATATTAGTTAGTTAATGTAGGTTTTTTTATTCTAGGAAAATCTATCTAGAAGCCACAGATTTACTCCTATACTAGGGTAAGAAATCCTAGATAAATCTAGACCCTCTAATTAGTTAGATAACCCTAAAATATAGGTCTATTTTACTACTTATTCCCTAAGTATTTACTGTAGAGTACTTATATATTATCTATAAATTTTTACTATATTTAATATACTTCCTTAGTACTAATTAGCTAGTCTATAAGTAATAGATCTATACTAAATATTATATATAGCTTTTTTATTAATTAACTATTAATTATCTTTTAATATTTTATACTTTTTTTTGTTTATTAGTAAAGCTTTACTTTATTATTAGCTAATTTATACTATTAATTTACTTTAAGGTATATATATTAGTTACTTATATTTAATTAATTTATAAAGGTAGTTATTAAATTATAAGAATTATAATAGTTAGATTAATTAGTTATATAATATATTCTATGTTCTAGGAAAATCCCTCTAGAAGCTATGAATTTCCTTTATTCTAGGGTAGGAAATCCTAGATAAATTTAGACCCTTTAATTAGTTAGATAGCCCTATAATATAGGTCTATTTTACTGCTTATTCCCTAAGTATTTACTATAGAGAACCTACATATTATCTATATATTTCTACTATATTTAATATACCCCCTTAGTACTAAATAAGTAGCCTATAAGTAATAGATCTATACTAAATATCTTATATATAGCCTTTCTATTAATTAACTATTAATTATTCTTTAATATTTTATACTTTTTTTTTCTTTATTTATTAATAAAGCTTTACTTTGTTATTAGCTAATTTATACTATTAATTTACCTTAAGGTATATATATTAGTTACTTATATTTAATTAATCTATAAAGATAGTAAATTATAATACACTAAGTGCTTTTATTAATTTATTAGCTATTAATTTAGTAGACTTCTTATTATTAGTAAAACTAAGGGATAGGTTAATATAGTTAACTATATATATTAGTAGTAATTAATAAATAATAGAGGTAACTATAGTTCTCTATTATATATAAAGAAAAAAAAGATAACTATTATAGGTTAGCTAGTTAAATAACTAACCTATTACTATAGTAAATCCTTAGTAGATCTATAGCTAATTATCTAAGGATTTACTAGTAATAAGTTATTAGGGTTAATCTAATAACTCTAATATTTATTTAGTAATAGTTAATATTATAACACTAGTAACTTTCTATAGTGCTAAAAATCCCTTATTATTTATATTTAAAAGAATAGCTAAAAATATAATAAAAACAAAAAGCTAAAAAGTATTTAATACTTTTTACTTATATAGTCTATTATATATAAGAAACTTATTTATTTATCTATATTTCTAACTACCTATTACTAACTAGCTTCTTTAATATATTATTTAGTAATAACTTTATAAATCTATTTACTAGGTTATAACTACTATAAATCTACTATATATTATAAATCTTATAGTGTTTATATAACTAATTAAGAGCTATAATATTTATTATAAGTTACTTTTCCTTTATAGTACTAAGCTTTATAAGGCACTTATAAAGTAAGTATAAGTTAGTATAAAGTATTATAGGTATTTATAGTAGCTTAAGGTAGTTAGTAAGTATTATAAGAGTAGTACTAATAATATAGGTAATATTAGCGTTAATAACTATTTTATAGACTTTAAAGGTAAGTATACTATATATAACTCTCTTGTACTTTATTAAGCTAAAGTAGATAATATTACTAGTTAACTTAAAGCTTTTACTATTAGTAGTAGGTTACTTAATAATTTATTTATTAGTAAGAACTATAATATAGCTAAGTTAAAAAGTAAAGTTATACTTATTTATAAATAAGCTATTAATAAATATAAAAAGCTTAGTAGTTATAAGGTTAATTAATAAGAATTATAAGCTATAGTTAAGGTTATTAATTTACTATTTAATTTAGTAGTTAAAAACCTTAATCTTTTTTACTATAGGTAATTAGTATTAAGTAGTAACTAAATAGTTAAAGTAAGCTTTAGGTTAATAAATAGAAGTAATATATATACTATAAGTATTAGAATATTAATACTAATAATTATATAACACCTAGTTAGTTAACTATAAATAATTTATAATTTAAGGTTAAAGAGTATAGACTAGTTATTTAGCCCTTAGTTATATTAAAAGAGGATTATACCTTCTAGTTAGCTAGAATAACTTAAGTTATACTTAAGTAGTATATAACTACTTTATATAATAATAGTAAAGTAGACTTATTTAGTTACCTAATAAGAAGTTAATTTACCCCTATGTTTTACTAAGTATATATATATATAAAGCCTATTTAACACTAATTAGTAGTTATATAGTAATTATAGATTAGTAAAAGTAAAAAGTTAAGCTATATTATATAAAACGTAGTTTATATAGTGTTTAACTATAGAAAGGCTAAAGAACTACTCCTTATTATAACTACTTATACTAAGATAAGTTATAATTTATATAAAGATTTAGTTTATATAGTGCTTAGCTATAAGAAGACTAAAAAACTACTTTTAAGATAACTACTTATACTACTTTTCTCTATATATAATAGAGAAAAAAAGACTATACCCTTCTTATATATATATAAAAAATAAGTAGTATACTACTATAAGTATATTACTTTTATTAACTAGATATTATAGAATTTAAAATAACTACTAATATATTAATATAGAATATATAAAGCTAAGAGAAAAAACCTACCTAAGAAGAATATATCTTTATCTATAAAGATATATTAAAAGGTAATAGTATTATAATTATAACCTAGATATCTTAAATACTACCTTTATACTAGACTAAATATTAAGATCTTACTAATAACTTATCCTAGAAAAAGATTATAATATATCTAGTGTATAAGATACACTAGATTATTTATATAAATCTAGAATAATACTAACTTAAAAGTATAATTATAATTAACTTTAAAGACTAGATAGCTAACTACTAGAAGTATATATATTATATATACTTTAAGAAGTTTATTAAGTAAATTATAAAAAGAGGTATCTTTATTAATACTAAGATAAAACCTAAAAATAAGTAAGTAGTTAACCTTATATAATAACTTTAAGAGTAATATTAAAAAAAGTCTAGTAGTTATATAATAAATATACTAATAACTACTATTAGAGATCCTTAAGCTACTATATAATAGAACCTAGCTAAGACACTAATAAAGTTAATTAAACTCTAGGATATACTAGTAGCTTAAAAGGCTAAAAAGCTTATTATATAAACAACCTTATATAGAGTATAACTTACCTAAGAGGTAAAACGTTTCCTAAGATCTTAAAGCTAAACTATACTTATACCCTAGAAAGATATTTATAACCTTTTACTAAAGTAAATAATTAATAATAGACTATATAAACCTTATATAATCTTTATTTTCTAAAAAGGCTAAAAAAAAGAAACTATACTAAAAAGCTATATAATATACTTTATAATAAGGCTAAAGTATTTATTAGTTTTTACTACTATCTCTAGATTATAAAGAACTAATACTATACTATTTTTCTAGATATCTTATTTAATAATATAAAGAAGTTTTACTTTTATTATATTAGACTTATATAAAGGTAAAATAAGATATATACTATATTAGATATATACTTTAATACTAGTATTAACTATAGTCTTTATTAAACTAACTAGACTACTATATCTTTTATATAAGTTAAATAAAAGAATCTAGATAAGATACTAATAAAAGTACTAGAAGTATTACTAGATAAGTTACCTTTTATATAATAAGTACTTAGTTTAGGTTTCTAAGGGGAAATTATACTTTATATATAAGTTATATAGGTATACTAAGGTATTCTAGAGCTAAAAACTACTCTTAGTAATCTTAAGGTATATTATTTATATAAAGAGTTCTTTTTTAATCTTAAGGCTTCTTTATAAGTTACCTTAGATAAAAAAACTATATTATATAATATTAACTTTATAGACTAAAGGTATACTTTAAACTATAAAGATAAACTATAATAAAGACCTTTATATAATTAACTACCTTATTAACCTTTTAATAAAGAAAAAAATAATAAACTATTTTAACTAAGACTTTTTTATATAAATATACCTAAGAAGTGTTTTATATATAAGAAAAAAGAATACTAG